GAGAAATGCCTCTAGAACATGGCCATATAGCCTGAAAAAACCCACAAGAACTGAGTGATTCCAGCCATGAAAAGCCTTCAACAATACATTGAATCTTTCAGAATTTTCTGTTGGTCATGGGAGTTCTGTGTGCCAAGTTTGGTTCAATTCCATTGCTGGTGGAGTTCAGAATGCTCTTTGGTTGTGGGAGAACTATAAATCCCAACAATTACAATTCCCAAATGACAAAATCAATCCCGCCCCACCCCCACCAGTATTCAAATGTGGCCGTATCGGATATTTGTGCCCAATTTGGTCCAGTGAATGAAAATATATCCTGCATATTGGATATTTACATGACGATTCATAGCGGTAGTAAATTACAGTTATGAAGTAGGAATGCAAATAATTTTAGGATTGGGAGTCACCACAACATGAACTGTATTAAGGGGTTGTGGCATTAGGAAGGTTGAGAACCATTGCTCTAACCACAAAAAAAAGAAAGAAATAGAAAGAACTGTGATACTTATAACCCATTACTTCCAACCTTGGACAGTGAGCTGGATTCAATATACATTGCTACTGCCTCTCTTGGCAGTAGCAATATAATTTAAAATAAAATCCAATTCCACCCATTTTATCTTACCAGTAATTACTACTCAAACATTAAACACACAGCAATGTATCTATAAAGATTGCAAAGATAAAGAGCTGATCACACTGAACTTAATAATCCAATTGATTTTAAACCTTTGGCTCTCCATGCTATTTGCTAATGGAGCAAGCTGATATGCAGTACAATATATGAAATCCTGTTCAATCAAGCTTTGTCAATTGTGATTGGTCAGCCTGGAGTATTCAAGGGGCCCCAGTGGCGCAACGGGTTAAACCATTGAATTGTTGAATCTGCTGACCTAAAGGTTGGCAATTCGAAGTCGCAGGTTGGGGTGAGCTCCCGCTGTTAACCCTAGCTTCTGCCAACCTAGCAGTTCGAAAACATGCAAATGTGAGTAGATCAATAGGTACTGCTTCGGTGGGGAGGTAATAGAGGCACCCATGCAGCCATGCTGGCAAAATACAACCAGGAGGTGTCTACAGATAACAAACTCCTCAGCTTGGAAATGGAACAAAAGCATCTCCTCATGTCCAGAGTTGAGCACCACCTCCAAAAAGCCGAGCATGAAAGCAGAATCCTTTACCTTCATTCTGTGTATTTGTATGTCATTGTTATTCCACTGTATCAAAGGCATTGAATGTTTGCCTATCTGTGTATGTTGTAATCCGTCAGGGAGATAGAACGGAATATAAATACTATAAATTATTATTATTATTATTATTATTATTATTATTATTATTATTATTCACTTACATTTCTCAGCTTTTGTACCTATTGTTATTAGAAAAAGGAGAGCACTGCTTTTTTTTTTACATTTCTATTAAAACAATTCTAATGAAAATCTCTAACAATAAAATAATGTTTGTTGGTGGCAGCCAAAAATGACTAGAACATTCTGCCAGAGACTTTAAAATTAGAATAGTTTTACAACTGTCATCCAAGTTACAGTATCCAGTTTCAAGGTGAAACTCCAAGAGAGAGCTTATCATTGACAAGGTGGCAGAGTCATATACTGCCAGAAGAACACAGAAAACATCTCAAAATGTGGTAGAGTCTTTCTATTGTCATCCAAGTTGTAGTGAGAAGTTTCAAATAAAATTCCAGGGGCACATCTAGGAAACAAAAATTAGGAATGTACAGAACTGTTATGTAATAACAACACAGAGAGCATTCCGTAAATGCGTTGCACTCGGTCAAAATGCATCTGTAAAAAGATAAAGGTTTTCCCTTGACATGCAGTCTAGTTGTAACTGACTCTGGGGGATGGTGCTCATCTCCATTTCTATGCCAAAGAGCCAGAGTTGTCCATAGACATCTCCAAAGTCACGTGGCCAGCATGACTGCATGGAGCGCCGTTACCTTCCTGCAGAAGTAGTACCTATTGATCTACTCACATTTGCATGTTTTCGAACTGCTAGGCTGGCAGGATCTGGGGCTAACAGCAGGAGCTCACCCTGTTCCTCAGATTCGAACCACTTCGAACCACCAACTTTCAGTCAGCAAGTTCAGCAGGTCAGCGGTTTAACCTGCTATGTCACCGGGGCTCTGTACCAGACTGGAAAATGATTTTGCTATGGATTTCTATCTTTCGGGCAACTGGATCAACATTGAAAAGAAAATCACCTGGCAGGCCTAGGACTGTTAGAACACTAGAAAATTTGGAAGTAGTTAGAGCATCCACTCAGCAATTGCCAAGGTGTTCCACGCACAAACCTTCTACGGTACTGGGAATATCTATTGTAGAGAAGTGTTTATTATAAAGGGTTTATTGTACTGTGTTTAAACTGTATTTATGTTTTACATGCGTGGCCATGGCCTAGCTGTGAGAGATAGGTTGCCATGGTGACAAGGCAGAGGAGAAGGTGGGCGGAGCTTAAGGAGAAAAAGGTTTGAAAGTAACAGTTAATGGGTAGTCAGGAGGATGAGACCCTGAGAAGAGGAGCGGAGTCAGTTAGGGCTCTGTGTGGTGAAGCAGTATAGATTCAGTTAGTTCTTAGCATTTGTGAATATTTCTTCAGCAAGGGAGCTGAAGGTGAAACCTTGTTAGATTGCTTGTGTTAAAAAGAATCTAACAAAGGGGGTTTTAGGGATCCCAGTAGTGAAAGACTGGAGATCGGTGGTTTGATCCGGTATAGGACAAACAGAGAGAATATTCACAACAGGGAACACTGAAATAATAAAGTACTTCACTGAAGAAGGAGTTTAAAGGATTGTAACATCAGAAGCCTGAATGTATCTCTACCAAGCCATATTGTAACCATCAAGCTTGTGCCAAGTTCAACATCTTAATATTGCAACAATTACGCTCTGTTAACAATAAACTTGTTCTCTCTGTGTTATAAATCTGCCTCCTCCATTGATTTTACATTTGGTGCAATCCACTCTACCAAAGTTGCCTCACAACGCAGATAGGGATAAATAGAGACTTCAATTCCAACGTCTCTATATATATATATAATGGTGGCAGTGTAATCAAGCAATTTTGGGACTTCCTTATAATTTAGGTTGAAATTAGGTGGATTAACATACATATTTATTTAATTTTGGTAATCCCATTTAGGTGGGATTACGCTTCCCTACATCTATCAAGTTGGAATTAGAGGAGGATTCTGCAGGCCAATTTAGAACTACATCCTTACAAAATGAGTTATCTGATATGATCCTTAAAACCCATTAAAATAACGCTGTTTTATGTATTTTTCAGAAATGTATACATTTTTTCCTATACCCCTTCAAAATGTGAGATATTTTTATGTCTCACCCTGTAGTTTGGAAATAGAGTTCTCTGGTGGAGAACCTTAAACGCCCCTCCCTCAAAGGTAAATCCAAGGATTTCACAGGATGCTGCCATGGCAGTTAAAGTGTAATCTGTTTAAGGGCCTCTTGCCCTTGCACGTTCTCAGTTAGCTAAGGTTATAACTGTTTTCCTGCTCCAACTGACTCCCAATAATAACAATAATTATTTGCATATCAGTTTGAAACTGCCTGGAGGTATGGATCAAGTTTCTTTAATGAGTCATTTCAATTTACAGATTTTTATATCAACAAATATTTATTCATTCTAAGGAAAGTTACGTCAGCAACAAGATCAACTACAAATACATCCTATACATTAAATTAATACTTTCCCAAATTAATTGGAAGTTATTGTTTCCATTTGATGTTTGATATTTTGTTTTATGTCTGTTATAACAGGCTGTGATTTTTATTTAATTTTAGTTTGTTAAGTTATAATTTGTATGTATATGTTGGGTTGTATAAATTTGTTAGTATTGATGTATTGTTGTTGTATTTGGGCACTGAATGTTTGCCTTTTATGCTTAGAATCTGCCTTGAGTCCCTTTGGGGAGATAGAATGGAATAGAAATAAAGTTTTATTATTATATTATTATACTAGCCATCCCCTGCCATGCGTTGCTGTGGCCCAGTCTGTGTATATGTGTTGTGTGTGTGTGTATATGTGTTTATGTCTGTGTATATATTTGTGTATATGTGTATATATGTGTGTTTGTGTGTGTATTTATGTGTGTATACGTGTGTATATATATGTGTATTTGTGTTTATATGTGTATATGTATATTGTGTATATGTGTGTGCTTGGGTATATGCATATATGTGTGTGTATATACGTGTGTAGGTGTATATGTATATATGTGTAGGTGTATATGTATGTGTGTGTATATGTGTATATTTGTGTGTGCTTGCGTATGTATATGTGTGTCTGTATGTATGTATGTGTGCATGTGCATATGTATATTTCTGTGTTTATATGTGTATATGTATATTTTGCATATGTGTGTGCTTGTGTATATGCATATACGTGTGTTTATATATGTGTATATGTATATGTATGTAGGTATATATGTAGGTGTGTATATGTGTATATTTGTGTGTGCCTGCATATATCTATATATATGTGTGTGTGTGTGTGTGTCTGTATGTATGTGTGCTTGTGTATATGTGTATGAACATATGTGTATATATATATGGTTTATTTGGGGGGAGGGGGTTAAAGTCCGTTCTGCTGGGGGTTTTTTTTTGTGTGTTTGTAGGGGTGATGGACACTTATTGGCCTGATAGGTGTCTTGTGGCCAAATTTGTTGTCAATTTTCCCAGTGGTTTTTGAGTTATGTTAATCCCACAAACGAGCATTACATTTTTATTTATATAGATTATGGGAATAATGTGGAGTCTCCAATTATCCCAGTAATCACAGAGAGATCATGAAAACTCATGAGGACAGAGCTCAGTGAGATATTAAAATTGCAAGTCAAGAGTAAACAAACGTACTGTTTGTCACCGTTAATGCAAAGTGCAGTAAAAACAAGGAGACTGGCATTAAAAATTAATAGGCAATTGATAAATCGCCTGTATTGTCATAGGCACTTTTCAGAGCAAGCTTTACCTTGCAGCTCTGCCTGGATTCTTACGAGTGAATTCTCCGTGGCCTTTTCCTTGGCTCTTTCCTTTTCTTCCTGTGACCACTGCATGTGGTCCCTTGAAAGAAAGAAAAAGAAGGAAGAAAAAACAATTTACAGGAGGAGAAATATGCTTTTATATTTCTAAAAGCTTCCACAGACTTTTCTATTCTTCCCCCCTCCCTTAAGTACACCACATGTAATCAGTGGCATTGTATCGAGTCTAGATTCCATTTTCTGCCTTGGTTTTCAAAAGAGGCCTTGATGCACTCTGGAACGCCTGCCATTCTGCTCTTCCATTCTCTTGCTTTGTTCCAGCCGCTCTGCGTTCCAGCGGGCCCTGGGCTGACAGCTCCCAGCAATGCCCCCTTCCTAACAGACCACAGTAGCGGTTGAGCATTTGAATGTCTCTGTGGTGTGTTGTCTTTTTGTTGCTTTCTCCGTGGGGTGTTTTCAGGCGTCCCTTTCTGCCCATTCTTTAGCTTGTGATGATGGAAAGTGCAAGGCCGCTTCCATTTAATACAGTAGTTTGTCTTTTTTGAGCACACACACGCAGCAAGCCTGCGAGCCCATAATCTGCCGGTGCCTTTTGAGTCCTGAATAACAGTGATTCATTACGCTAAAACGGAGCATTGGCATGTTCCATGCCAGCTACCCAACGTGATTGCCGTTTCACCACAGATTTAGAGCTATCAAAATCTGGCCTCCTGGTGTGCTAAAGCAGCCCGTATGGATTATTGCAGAAATGTACTTAATAGGCATATGAATATGATAAAAAAAAGGTTGCAGCTGGGGTCTGTTTTTTGTTTTTCAGGCAATACGTCTGATTACTCCCATGTGTTAGGGAACCACAAAATGCAACCAAAACAGCATCCAGAAGTAAGCTGCATGGAGCTTTTAATTACACAGCGCAACAGATGGATTTGAGTGGGATAAAGAGGTAAATCTCTCTAGTGAAATAATGGCACTCAAAATGCCTGCCAGGATGGAGTAAAGGATTACAGAAGCCAGCGCCACACCACAACATTACGCCAAAACAAAGCAGAAAATGCTGAGCAATCTTAAGATATTCCTCTGGGTTTCAATTCCATACATTCACAGAAGCTAACAATTCACCAGCTAGATCTCAAAGCTGGCTTCCTGATGCTAGCAGGGATTTAGGAGCGCATGCATGCAGTAATTGCTATGATGGCATACCTCAATATCATTCAAGATTATACTTGCACCCGGATGCAAATATGTTGAAGAATCTGGGTTGTTGTAGGTTTTTTGGGGCTATATGGCCAGGTTCTGGAGGCATTCTCTCCTGACGTTTCGTCTGCATCTATGGCAAGCATCCTCAGAGGTAGTGAGGTCTGTTGGAACTAGGAAAAAGGGTTTATATATCTGTGGAATGACCAGGGTGGGACAAAGGACTCTTGTCTGCTGGAGCTAGGTGTGAATGTTTCAACTGACCACCTTGATTAGCATATAATGGCCTGACAGTGCCTGGAGCAAACTTTTGTTGAGAGGTAATTAGATGTCCTTGTTTGTTTCCTCTCTGTTGCTTTGCTCCCAGAAATCCCAGTCAGTTTACCAGCTGTTAGGATTTCTGGGAGCTGAAAGCCAAAACATCTGGAAGACTAAAGGTTGGGAACCACTGAGTGAAGAGTGAAGGCCTGGGTATAGCAAAGCCACTCTTTCAAATGTAACTTCCAAAATTCCCCATAGCATAACCACTAGCCTTGCTGGCCGATAATGCTGGGAATTGCTAATCCATGGCATTTAATTTTTTCAAACTGTGCACTGGACAAAAGGAAGGCATGGAGAAGTCTTCTCTATTTTAGGGTCCTTGGTCTTTGTGCCAATCCATGGTGTAGCTCTACAAATACTCCTATCACTAGAATCAAGACAGAACCAATCTATAAGAATTCTGAAATGTGGGCAGAAGTTGGACTAATTCCAGTAATACTTTGTTGTATGTGTCTTTTTTCTTCTTCCTTGAAACACATTCAATGGCTTACTAATATAATGTGTAGGAGAGTTGAGAAGCTCTGTGTCTCATATGAACCTGCCTGAGCTGTAAGATCTGTAGAGGAGGTATTTCTCTCTATTTGGCCACTTTCACAGGTATGGCTAATGAGAACAAGGTAAGTTTTCTCTACTGCTGCTCCCACATATTACAACTCCCTCCCTGGGAAAGTTGGGATGGTTATTTCTTTGTTTTCCTTCTGAGTAGACCAGTAGTTCTCAACCTGTGGGTCCCCAGGTGTTTTGGCTTACAACTCCCAGAAACCCCAGTCTGTTAGGATTTCTGGGAGCTGAAAGCCAAAACATCTGGTTGGGAACCACTGGGTTAGTCTCTATCCCCAGAAAACATTTGGAAACTGATTTTAATAAATATGACTTTCTGGTACTAAATTGTTTTCAAGTAATATTTTTTATTAATACTGTTTTAGTCTTGAGTATAAACTTTTTAATCACGTGAGTTTTATTGTATAGTGCCTCGAGGCCCAGCCTGGGAGAAAGGCAAATGCTTCCCAAAGTGCCCAGTAAGTAAGATGTGAAGCATCCCTGAGGATGTTGTTTTTTGTTTACACAAGTTTAGTATCCACAGACAAATTAATGCAGAAAATGTGGTTGGTTCACTATCTGCTTCCTTTCCTCTGGCAGGCAAAGATCTTTTTATTTAAGCAAATATTTGGTGCTTACCATTATGATGCAAAAGGTATTTTGACTGTTGTGTTGTACTTCTAAATTGGAAACCATTTGACGACCAACAATGCCAATAAAATGTGTTTTAAAGTGTTTCAATTATGTGCTTTTTAAACTGAATTGTCTCTTTAATTGCTTTTTAACTATTGTTAATAAGGTTTTGGCTGGATTTCAATTTCATTTTTTTGCAAGCTGCTTGGATATGACATTAATTAGGTTAGCTAGATGTTCTACAAGGTTTTTTTTTAACCGTGCTATTGAGAGTGAAATATTTCACTGAGATCTTATCTTTATAGGACATTTACTGATTCACATTCACAGGCAATGAAGACCAACTTTATGGAGGTTATACATATAAATATTCCCAAAGAAGAACAGCTTTGTATCTGTGGAAGTCAAGTACATTTTTTAGGCTGAAAAAGCCCTCCTCGGGTTATACTCAAATCAAAGTTACCATATTTATTATTTTATTCTATTATTATTATTATTATTATTATTATTATTATTATTATTACATTTATTATTTTACTCTATTTATTATTGTTGTTTTTGTTGTTGTTACATTTACATTATTTTACTGTTTTTATTTTTATTACATTTATTATTTTAATCTATTATTATTATTACATGTATTATTTTACTCTCTTTATTGTTATTGGAAGGATATGTAAGCATATTTACATTGAAGATTAGGAAAGCCCCTACGTTAGAAACCTTTAAAAAGAGTCTCAAGACCTGGCTCTGCTACTGTGCTTTCGGAGAGTAGCCACATAATTTTATGCTATTGCTCCCTCAACATTCTTGTCCCAGGAGTCGTCCCCCCCACAAATGTATGAAGGTTTGTCTATTTTCCTGTCTCTCTATGAGTTCTATGAGTTCTCCCTTACAATTAGTTCTGCCCCCTTATCTCAGTTTTAAAATCATTTTATGTACATGCGGCCTGCTCTCTGTAATTACGTGTGGTTTCTATGTTTTGTGTATATTGTTTTATATGTTTTGATGTTTTTTTCTGTAATGTTATGTTGTTTATTTTACTACAATTTGTTTTTTTGTATTGTAATTTGTTGTTCGGGCTTGGCCCCATGTAAGCTGCTCTGAGTCCCCGTTGGGGAGATGGTGGTGAGGTATAAATAAAGTTTATTATTATTAAGTTTATTATTGAAGAAAGTTATAATAATGGTTTAATCGGAGTTGGGCAGTTTTATCTTAAATTACAGTTTTATGTAAATATTCAAAAACATTTAACCTATTGATGCCTCTATTAATGTAATTTTATTGGTAAAGTAAAGGTAAAGGTTTCCCCTGACATTAAGTCTAGTTGTGTCCAACACTTGGGGGGGGGGGGGGTACTCATCTTCATTTCTAAGCCAAAGAGACGGCGTTGTCCGTAGACACTTCCAAGCCCATGTGTCCGGCATGACTGCATGGAATGCCGTTTCCCTCCTGCAGAAGTGGTACCTATTAATCTACTCACATCTGCATGTTTTCCAACTGCTAGATTGGCAGAAGCTGGGGCTGACAGTAGAAGCTCACCCCGCTCCCTGGATTTGAACCACCAACCTTTCGGTCAGCAAGTTCAGTAGCTCAGCGGTTTAACCTGTTGCGCCACATTTTTTTAATTTACCACTAGCTGTTGCATTTCCCACCCTTGCTTATACTCCAGTCAATACGTTTTCCCTTTTTTGTGGTAAAATTAGGTCCCTCGGCTTACATTTGGGTCGGCTTATACTCAAGTATATACAGCTAGTTGAGAACACCATACTTTATGCATCATATTGTAAATTATAAAAACTCCATGAGAAAAATACTGAATAAGAACCTGTAGATAATTTAATGATAGGGAAAATTTTATAAACTTGCCATGTAGTTTACTTAAGTTGGTTCTGGTTAATGCATTTACATGTGGAGTGAAAGCAGTCTTATTCAGACTTGCTTCTAAGAATAATTTAGATTAAAAGATTTTATAAGAAGTGTGGATTCAGTAACTATATTTGTACGCACTATTTTTGTATACTGTATATTTGTATTATTGACTGTATTTTACACATTAGCATATAGCATTTTAACATGCATTTTAAGAATTCTTAAACTTTGAGATTTTATCTTTCATTGCAGTCTTTCTTACACAATTGTAGTCTTTTGGCTGCAGCCTGTATTCGGTTGCCTAATAATAAAGCCTAATTGAAGCACTCCTATTTACATTGACAGTGAAATAGATGATGCTGTAGCAAACATCTTACCACATGTTATGATCAAAAACTTTCTCTGGATCCAACAAAATCCGTGACCCAAGGGGAGCCGTGGGCCGTCCCTTGCTTTGGAACCTCTTGGGTAAAATGCTATTCCTCAGATATGGAAGAGAAAACCTTTCCACGAACTGCATTTCAACAAAGACACCTACAAAGAAAATTAAACAAAAGGTTAGATTTTCAGAGAATTCATTATTTAATCTACTAGAGGGGTAGCTATGTTAGTTTGCTGTAGCAAAACACCATGTAACACCTTATATAAGCGGATTTATATAAACTCAAGTGGTGAGATGTCTGCCTAGAAAGAAGCATAATGTATGTTACAAAATGTTTTCTGGAGACAAAGAGACTTTGATATACATGTTACATTCAGATCTGATTATTTGGATTGTTTGCTTCCGCTGTTAATGAAAGATGGGGAGATAGTCGTGAGGAATTCAGCACACATATACACAATATCGAATACTGATTACAGAAGAAACATTTTGCTCCTGCAGCACACACTGTTCTTCCATTTGACATTTCCTACCCCTGCTCATTACGTCGTGTTATTTCAAAGCTATTCTTAATGTTTCAATCACTCAAGCAAAGCTGTTAAAAGACAAAGGCCCACATAAAGATACATCTTGAATTAATGCAGTTTAACACCACTTTAAATGCCAAAGCTCAGTTCTATGAATTGCTGGGAATTGCAGTTTGGTAAGGCACTAGCACTATTTCGCAGAGAAGGCTAAAGAACTAGTAAAATTACAAATCCCATTATCCTATACCACTGAGCCATGGCAGTTAAAGTGGGGTCAAACAGCATTTTTCTCTACAGTATAGATGCATCCATAAAACACAGATAACTGTCTTTCATTATTATCTATCCAATTCCCTCTCTGTCATTTCCGATCACCATTTGGAGAAGGACTCCAATGAAAAGAGAAATATTCCAGTAGAAATAGTGATATTGGGTTGCTATGAGTTTTCTGTATGACCATGTTCCAGAAGCACTCTCTCCTGACATTTCACCCACATCTATGGCAGGCATCCTCAGAGGTTGTGAGGTCTGTTCCCCTGTCTTCTGAGTGTAGCCCTTTATTTACTGTCCTGATTTTAGAGTTTTATTTTTTAATACTGGTAGCCAGATTTTGTTCATTTTCATGGCTTCCTCCTTTGTGTTGAAATTGTCCACATGTTTGCGGATTTCAACATCTTCTCTCTGTAGTCTGAGATGGTGGTTGTTAGATATTGTGCTCTTGCTAGAGCTCTGAACACTCACACAGTCCTTTGCAGGTGTCCAAGGAACAACACAGTCTCTGCCTGCATGATGCCCGTGTCTACTTTAAGCGATATTTTTTGGCTATGTACAGCAGGTTTTAGAGCTGTACCGAAGTCAAAGTAGCAATTAATTACATGGGAAGTGCCAATAAGGAGGAAAGTTGCACTTTCCCCTTCTTTTTGCACTTTAAAGAGTTTCACCCGCTCACTCCGCGCTGCCTTACTGGGATTCAAGAACAGGCACAATTTTGTACACAGATCGGTTGCTAACACATTTATTTTGGCTCTCCAGCATATGTTATTTGTCAGATATGACAGAAGGCTCAAAACATTGACTTCTACTAGATTGAAAGAGCCTAACTGTGCACAATTTAGGAAAAGTTTGGAAAGAGTCACAAACATCTGCGATGCTATGCAATATGCTGGAAAGAAAAACATTTCATCAGACAATGCAATCTACGTAATTTACTGTTACAGGATGTGGTTACAGAATATAAAGTGAGTGGTTTCAAGAAGGTTTGATGAAATTAATAGACCAAAAAAACTCCAATCTTACAAGCTGAAAAAACTCAGGGTTTTCAGCGTCTGAAAAGTTGCTTTTTTTTTCGTGTCAGGAGTGACTCCAGGTGTGAAAGAATTGACCGTCTGCAAGGACGTTGCCCAGGGGACGCCTGGATGATTTGATGTTTTTATCATCCTTGTGGGAGGCTTCTCTCATGTCCCCGCATGACGAGCTGGAGCTGATAGAGGGAGCTCATCTGCCTCTCCCCGGATTCGAACCTGCGACCTGTCGGTCTTCAGTCCTGCCGGCACAGGGGTTTAACCCACTGCGCCACCGGGGGCTTCTGAAAAGTTGCTGGGGAATGCTGAGAGTTGTAGTCCCCCTAAAAATGTACCAATCTTTAGACCTGTGCATAAACAATAATATCTAAATGCTCTTTTCTAACATTCCTTGATATCAATTAGGATACAAATGAAGAGTCTCTGAGTTACAAGCATCTGACTAACAATCTACTCATAGTTAAGAATGGGGGTGAGACAACAGGAAGTGAAAGAAATCTGCCCTCGGAAGGGAATTCACTCCTGAAAGAGTTATTATCATGGGGAAAAGAAGACTCTACTGAAGCACTATTACAATTCAGATTTCCACAACAAGCCAAATTTTTCAAAATCCAGTGATCAAAGGGATAGAAAGTGAGGTGAAATTTTCTAAACAGGAGCACAGACAGCAAAACACACAGGGATATTAACCCTTCCCTATGAGATCCAAAGCTAATATTTATTATATATGTTTGGCTGAGGTTACACTTAAAAAAACCTCTGTTCTGACTTACATACAAATCCAACTTAAGAACAAAGCTTCAGAACCTATCTTGTCAGTCGCTTGGGGACTGCCTGTATTCATTCTGCAGAAAGTAATGGCATCCCAGCAAGATTTTTGGAAGTGAACCTAGTACCTTCCATTTGTCCTGGACTACAACTCCCATTATCTTTTGCCAGCAAAGCCGCTGGGATTTGCAGTCTCTCTTGCTCACCTGTAGTAAGCCAGACCCTAAATCCAATTACTAATCCCAGCTACAATAGGCTCATTTAAACTATGGAATTTGCTTAAGAGTTGACTTGCCCTTCTGCAATTAGAGTCATAGGTCTACTCTAACTGGGACTAGCAATCAGATTTAGTCCATAGTTGAGTGCGCCAGCTGCACCCGTACCTCGCGAAGGCTGATCTGGCCGGGGTGGTCCATGCCTTAGTCACCTCTAGACTGGATTACTGCAATGCGCTCTACGTGGGGCTGCCCTTGAAAACGGCTCGGAAATTCCAATTGGTCCAACGGGCAGCAGCCAGGATGCTAACGGGGGCCCATTACAGAGAGAGGTCAACCCTCCTGTTTAAGGAGCTCCACTGGCTGCCGTTTATTTTCCGAGCCCAATTTAAGGTGCAGGTGCTTACCTACAAAGCCCTGAACGGTTTGGGACCACCCTACCTGCGAGACCGCATCACAGTCTACGAACCCACACGCTCACTCCGGTCATCAGGAGAGGCCCTGCTCGTGATCCCGCCCGCGTCACAGGCGCGTTTGGTGGGGACACGGGACAGGGCCTTCTCTGTGGTGGCCTCCCGCCTCTGGAATGCCCTCCCGAAAGATCTCAGACAGGCCCCTACCTTGGCGGTTTTCAGAAAGAACCTGAAAACCTGACTGTTCCAACGTGCCTTCTCAGATTAGGAACCCCACTACCAAAGCCCAGAAGCACTTTAGTAGAGTCAAGATCACCCTCACCGCACACTGCACTTATATTTTAATCCTATATCCCTCCGACACTTCAGCACTTTTAATTCTGTACCCTACTCCTGGCCGGCTCAGTTTTTAATAATGTTCTGTTGTATTGTTATTGCTATTGTTTTTCTGCTTTAATTGTTTTATTTGCTATGTATTGTATTGTTGTATTGTGTTGGGCTCCGGCCTGTTGTAAGCCGCATCGAATCCCTTGGGAGATGCTAGCGGGGTACAAATAAAGTTATTATAATAATAATAATAATAATAATAATAATAATAATAATAATAATAAAGATGGTCTCCAAAAGTTTGTTTGGGCATGCTTGTCAACAGACTCAAGTATCCATGAAGCCTAGAATGCTGCTGGTTAATACAGAGGCAGGCAATTTGCTAACATAGGGGAAGAGGGCACATTAGACTCACAAGCAACCACAATGGGTGCATTTGCACCAGTAATTACCAACCTTTGGTCCTCCAGATGTTCTGGATTTCAACTCTTAGAAATCCCAACCAGCTTACCAACTGTTAGGAATTGTGGGAGCCTGGAAAACCAAAGGCTGGGAACCACTGATTTACACTGCAGAATTAATGCAGCTTGTAACTATTTGAACTGCCATTGATCAATGTTATGGAGTTATGGGGGTTGTAGTCTGTTAACATACCAGCAGTCTGCCAGAGAAGGCTAAAGATCTTGTAAAGCTATGGCTGGATGGTATCCTTGAAGGGACTGGCTTGACTCTGAAGGAGTTGGGGGTGATAACGGCTGACAGGGAGCTCTGGTGTAGCTTGGTCCATGAGGTCACAAAGAGTCGGAAGCGACTGAACTAATAACCAACACTGTTTTTCAGTGTTTTTATGAGTGATGGTCACACATTGGCCTGATAGGTGTATTGTGTCCAAATTTGGTGTCAATTCATCCAGTGGTTTTTGAGTTATGTTAATCCCACAAGCTGCACATCACAAATGCTGAACCTGACTCAGCACATAGAAGATGGCTTTGAAAGGCAGCAGATCACAGGAGCTATCTTCATAGACCTTCAGCGGCTTATGATACCATAAACCACCGCCTCCTCCTGAGAAAAATGTATAATATCACAAAGGACTACTGGTTCACCTGCCTCATAGGAAACCTGCTACAAAACAGGAGCTTCTTTGTTGAGTTCCAGGGCCAGAGAAGCAGATGGCGGAAACAGAAGAACGGCCTGCCTCAGGGGAGCGTGCTTGCCCCATCCATGGTCAACATCTACACAATGACCAGCCACTGCCAGAAGGGACAGAGAGTTTCATCTATGCTGATGATGCATCCCGAGCTCTGAGGATTACCTGGGAAGGAATCCCACTGGAGCATTGAAGCACACCCAAATACCTGGGAGTCACTCTGGACCGTGCTCTGACCTACAAGAAGTACTGCCTGAACATCAAGCAAAAAGTGGGCGCTAGAAACAATATCATACGAAAGCTGACTGGCACAACCTGGGGATCACAACCAGACACAGTGAAGACATCTGCCCTTGCGCTGTGCTACTCTGCTGCTGAGTATGCATGCCCAGTGTGGAACTCATCTCACTACACTAAAACAGTGGATGTGGCTCTTAATGAGACATGCCGCATTATCACTGGAGAAATTACACTATCTAGCCAGTATCACAACACCTGACATCTGCTGGGAAGTAGCAGCCAATAGTGAAAGGACCAAGGCAGAGACATCTCCAGCTCATCCCTTGTTTGGATATCAGCCAGCACGTCAACGACTTAAATCTAGAAATAGTTTTGTAAGATCTACAGGGACACTCACTGGAACACCTCAGCAAGTGGGAGTCCAAAAGTGGCAGGCTCAAACCCAGCACCTCAATCAATGGCTGATACCAAATGAGAGACTCCCTGGGCACACAGAAAACTGGGCGACTTGGAAGGTGCTGAGCAGACTGTGCTCTGGCACCACGAGATGCAGAGCCAATCTTAAGAAATGGGGCTACAAAGTGGAATCCACGACATGCAAGTGCGGAGAAGAGCAAACCACTGACCACCTGCTGCAATGCAACCTGAGCCCTGCCACATGCACAATGGAGGATCTTCTTGCGGCAACACCGGAAGCACTCCAAGTGGCCAGATACTGGTCAAAAGACATTTAATCAACTATCAAGCTTGCAAATTCTGTGTTTTGTCTGTTTGTTTGTTTTTGCTAAAAATGTAATACAAATGTCTGGTTGCTGATGACACAATAAATAAATAAATAAATAAATATCCTACAAACTAACATTACATTTTTATTTATATAGATGGGAATGTAAACCATTCAAAATGAATAACAAGTACAATCACATGACATACTTTTACAGCAAAGAGCTACAATTCCGCTCCATCTAAGGATGTAGACCAGGGGTGCATCTACACTGTAGAATTAATGCAGTTTGATCTCATTTGAACTGCCACGGCTCTATGCTATGTAATTTTGGGGTAGATAAACGTTTTCCCCCGACATTAAGTCTAGTTGTGTCCGACTCTGGGAGTTGGTGCTCATCTCCATTTCTAAGCCGAAGAGCCGGCGTTTTCCGCAGACGCCACCAAGGTCATGTGGCCGGCATGACTGCATGGAGCGCCCTGGGGTGTGCCGTTTGAACTCCTATGATTGCAGAGTACTGAGTGGTGTCAAACTGCAGTAATTCCACAGTGCAGATGCACCCAAAGTGGGTTTGCTTTTTTTCTCTGCAACGGTATCAATCCGACACAAACTTTATTTCAAAGAGGGGGTGGAACCATACCTTTAAAAAGATGCATGTCATGCAAGTTTTTCCCGGGTTCCCTCATTCAACTTCTCCCTCCAAATCCAGCCACTTTCATTATGTGTTAACGTTTCAAAACGAGCCTGTTGAGAACACAGAAACATCCCAAGGCAATTGCAGCTGCATCCTGAACGCGACCCGCAAGAGAGCGAACCATGCGGTTCCTGATAACATACAGAGCGAAGGGAAGGGGAGCGCGGTGCATTCTGGGAGGTGCAGTTTCTGCGATCATTCACTCCTTCTGAAAAAACGCGTAGCTCAAACTACCATTCCCAGTATGCTTTGCGAAGCGGCAACGGAAGGACGCAGGCGGGGAGGAGAGTCTACTTTCGTAAGCGCCTCTTTAGCTGTGGTTGTTTTGAGATATTTGGGAGCGCGTGGTACAAGAAGGGCCATATGTATGGGAAGGGAGGTGATAGAAAGGGAATCTTCTCAGAGGAGGGTTTGAACCCTGGATTTCTGACTTTGGGTAAGATGACTCATTGCTTTGACACATTAACAATGGGCCTTAACTGCCCTTTGTATGGAAAGGGATTTTGTAGCACTTCAGGGGCCCTTCCACACAGCCCTATATCCCAGAATAGCAAGGCAGACAATCCCACAATAGGAAGAACTTCCTGACTGTGAGAGCTGTTCAGCAGTGGAACTCTCTGCCCCGGAGTGTGGTAGAGGCTTCCTCTATGGAGGCTTTTCAACAGAGGCTGGATGGCCATCTGTCGGGGGTGCTTTGAATGCAGTTTCCCTGCTTCTTGGCAAGGGGTTGGGCTGGGGGCCCATGAGGTCTCTTCCAACTCTATGATTCTGTATGCAGATGATACCATTTTGACAGCTGAAAGCAAGAAGGAGCTGAGCAGCCTTCTGGCCAAGATGAAAGCAGAAAGTGCAAAAGCTGGGGGTTGGACTGGATGGCCCATGAGATACCTTCTAATTCCATGATTCTATCTGCTTTGAACTGAATTATCTGAGTCCACACTGCCATATATCCCAGTTCAAAGCAGATCATGGGGGATTTTATTCAGCTGTGTGGAATGGGCCACAGAGGAAGAGGTTGGTAGCATAAACTCTCATCAGGGCACATCTGCACTGTAGAATTAATGCAACTTGATACCGCTTTAACTGCCACGGCTCAGTGCTATGGAATCCCGGGATTTGTACTTTGCGGAATCATCAGCAGCCTTTGGCAAAGAAGGACAAAGACCTTGTAAAACTACAACTCCCATGATTGCATAGGCATGAACCAAATTTTTTTTCAAACTGCATTAATTCTATAGTATAGTATAGATTTATTTATTTACGATATTTCTATACTGCCATTCTCAGCCCCAGGGCAACTCGTGGTTGTTTACAAAATGGCACCATTCGATGCCCACAGCAATACAAAGATAATTAAACATTAAAAACATTTAACATAGATAAAAATTCATTACAAATAACATCAATAAAACATAATAAAAAACCATAAGTCCTCCGCATTTCATTACCAATCATCCACCCTTAAGAWGATGCACCCTTACGACTCAGAGGAGCACAGCGACTCTCCGAAAATACTACATTTGCRTGTAGAGATAGTTTATTTAATACTTAGACCAGGGGTCCTCAAACATTTTAAACAGGGGGCCAGATCACAGTCCCTCAAACTGTTGGAGGGCCGGAATATAATTTGAAAAAAGCATGAATGGATTCCTATATACACTGCACATATCTTATTTGTAGTGCAAAAAACACTTAAAAACAATACAATRATTGAAATGAAGAACAATTTAAACAAATATAAGCTTATTAGTATTTCAATGGGAATTGTGGGCCTGCTTTTGGCTAATGAGATAGGATTGTTGTTGTTGTATGCTTTCAAGTCGTTTCAGACTTAGGTTGACCCTGAGCGAGGGCCCGGTAAATTACCTTGGAGGGCCGTATCCAGCCCTCGGGCCTTAGTTTGAGGACCCCTGACTTAGACCATAGGTCTTTCACTTATAGGACAGACAAAACCAGATTTTTTAAAAAAATGTCAGGAACTCAAGTTGCTTCTGGTGTTAGAGAATTGGCCACCTGCAGTGACTTTGCCCAGGGAATGTCCACATGTTTGATGTTTTTACCATCCTTGTGGGAGGCTTCTCTCATGTCCCCACATGGGGAGCTGGAGCTGACAGAGAGAGCTCAATCCATTCTCCCCAGATTCTAACCACTGACCTGTTGGTCAGCATAAGGGTTTAACCCACTGCGCCACCATGGACTCCAGATTATAAAATACAATGCGAAATACACCATTAAAATATAAATCATTAGAATCATTAAAATGCTCCATAAATTGATGGTGAGGTGCACCCTTAAACTACTGAAAAAAATACTGTATGAATTGGTACTTCCATAGGTAAAAACCAAGTAGAATTCAGTAATATTATAATGTAAACAAGAAACACTTTGAATAGAAACAGCCACACCATGATTAGGTAAAAACATCCCCAGAGTAGTCATATATTTGCATATAAATATATCTGTACAGTTCAAATCTCAACAGCCAGATCACGGTGTAACAGACGCCCAAGTGCTGTCAAAGGCTTTCATGGTTGGAATCACTGGGTTGCCATGAGTTTTCTGGGCTGTATGGTCATGTTCAGGAAGCATTCTCTCCTGATGTTTTGCCCACATCTATGGCAGGCATCCTCAGAGGTTGTGCGGTCTGCTAGAAACTAAATGCTCAAGTAATAGGGAGCAGGATTGCAAGAGCTTGTAGACCCCACTGAGCAAACGTAAATGTTGGTTAAATGAATATACATAGGATTGTAGAAACTTAGTGTTGCTGTAAATGATTTTTGAAGCTGGTAATGGTAATGCGTGCTTTCTTCCGTTCAGCCTCCTTCTGAATGCGCTGTGAGACTAGTCAGATGTTTCTCCAAAATGGATCCAGATTCCTCTGCCTTGGCTGCTGGGACAAGGCTCCAATCCTCCAATGCATTTAGGATCCACAGTATCTGCTGCCTGCTAATAAGAAGGACACAGGGATTTTACACAAAAGACGCTGGCTTTGTTTATAGGAAAAACATGGGGATCCTGAGGGAGCTCATGTGCCAGGTAACAGCTGCTAATGTCTCCCATTGCTGTGCCACACAGCTCAAGGCATTACATCAGGAAGGCAGGTAGCATTCCGAATATTGTATAGGTCTATGGCTGTGTCAGCTTGAGTCAAGACAGTGTTGAAGGATGTTAGGAGTTGCAGTGTAACATCTGGAGGGCTGTATTTTGCCTTCCCTGGCATTACAGATCCCTTGAACTCTTCTGCACAGAAATTTTGAATCTTCATTTTGTAATCTTCTGCAATTCCTACACAGATATATTTCCCATGAAGCAAATGCATAACACTGGCCAAAACACATTTTAGTGCTTCAAATGTTAACCCTGTTTCTGGGTATGTTTGACCTGCTGGTTCCAAAAAAAATGGCACCAATTTCCCCCTATTAGCTTTAGTTTTTGAGATACAGAATACATGCCATCGGCCAGTCACCATCTGCTCACTCATTAAAAAGCATGACAACCATATTTAAAACATTTTAAAGCAATGCTTTTGGGCAACTTGGGAGTCCCTGAACAGACTCAGAAGCGGAGTATGCAGATCAAAAGACAACCTGGCAAATGGCACTACCTAAAAGTGACTGTGGAGCAGAACTGTGCATCTGTATGCTTGTCCACTATGCCCTGCCTCATGTACAGAGGAAGAATTGTTGGAGGCTACAGACAATGCCGTTGCTGATGCCCATTTTTGGTCAAATATCAAATGATATTTAGCCGCTTGTGCTCCTTCTTTTATCAATTGACAAACAAAAAAAACAACACCATGCAACACACCCTTTTTTCCTTTACATATACATCTACCTTAACCTTGGTGTTGATGCTTGCAAAACTCTCCAGTTTTCTGTATACCTTAACATTTACTTCATAGCACCAGTTTTCTGTATACCTTAACATTTACTTCATAGCACAAATTGCACTTCATAGCAATTTGCACATAGATAAATCCTCAACAAGATCCTGGCCGCAGTTTCTCACTATTTTTGTTCTGTCTTGGGTCACCATCGGTGCAATCCTATAAAGTAAATGCATAACACTGAGAAGCAGGCCTCACTTTATCCAGGAGCCTTTTCTGCCAGGTAGATGCAGCACATACATTGGAACTATGTAGAGAAGATTGACAAGGACACTGTGTGCCTGCTGTGCAAATTCATGAAACAATCCCCATTTTAAAATTTTAAATTGTTTTTTAAATGTGTTTTTAATGCTTTAATTATGCCCTTTATGTTTTAATTGTATTTTTTCCATTTTTTTTTACTATTGCTGGCCTATTTGATTTCCAGTTTTGGGCAGAATAAATGTAATAAAATAAGTATGTGCACACAGAATAGCATCCTGTGTTTTGTGTAATCTGTGGAATTTTATTTCCAAAGGAATAAGTCTACTTGTCAGTTATTCTCCTGGGAAAGGAAACAAGCTGCATTGAGATAATTTGATTTTACAAGACATTGTTGACTCTTTAAAAATTGAAGTGAGTTCATTAATTGTTCAGATCAACGGATAAGCAGTACTTTTGAATGGTGTATAGTTCAAAACAGTGGTCTTTCAGATGTTTGGAACCTGAAATCCTGAGTATTGATCATATTAACTTGTGCAAGAGGATGCTCTGTTGTTTTCAATTGTCCTGTTTTAACTGGTTTTTGTTTGCTTTTAATTGTTCTAATATAGTTTAATTCTGTTATAATGTTGATTCTTGTTTGCTTTTAATTATATTGTAGTCATTTTAATGTATAAGCTGCCTGGAGTCCCAATATTGGGGGAAAGACAGAATATAAATAAGGTTAATGATAACAGAATGATAATAAAAATAATGGATTTCCAAAATGTATGACAGACTGAGGTTGAGAACCATGGATTCATGATTGTTTGATTAGAGTTTCTATTGAAAGACATGCTGTTATTTATAATCTGCAATGCAAAATATAGACAACAGGGCAATATTTTCCCTTAGATACAAATACTTTTAAAAAATAAATTCAGCATACAAAACAGTTTTTTCATACTCAAATCCTACTTTTGTGTAGTAGAATAAAATAATAGAAATAAATTAGCTTGCATTTCTAAAAACTCTTAGTATTCTGATGAAGACCTCATTTACCTTTTCAACAAAATAATAAATAAGATTAATGCTTGTGGACATTTGCAATTTCAAAGCCACAGGCTTTTTTTTATCACTGCTATTTATTTCAGGAAAGTACGACATTCAGAAATGTTTGGACTACGCATTCAACATCTCCAATAGTTTACCAGAGTGGAAAGATCTATTTGGAAAATTATCGCTGCTGTATGAGCAGGTAGCTATAAAAACATTTCTTAATTTTTTTAAAAAAAACCTATGTTTGCAATGCACTGTTCTTCCAAAATTTGCAGAAACCAAAGTAATTTTGCCAGGAAAGTTATCCTACATAAAAGTACTTATAAAATGCAGGGCTATAAAGTTTCAACGAGAGCTAGTGTGGTGCAGTGGTTTGAGCATTTTGCTGTGACTCTGGGGATTATGTTCCTCACCAAACCATGGAAACACAGCAGGTAATTTTGGGCAGAGGTTCTGGATTACATCTACCATCAGCCCCAACTATAAAAGGCCTTGAAGGCTGGAATAGTTAGGCATTATACAATCCCCTTGGAAGCATCTGGCTAGTTGCCACAATGTCTATGGGCTTCTTTGGAAAAGGGATAAAGGACAGTTACATCTTAGAGCCTTTGCTAGTAGGAGAGATGGTTTTATTTATTTATGGTGTCAGAAGCAAATTGAGAATAGAGTTATAATATATTTTTAAAAACCACAAATAAAGATTAAAACTTGGTGTTATTCTAAATATCCTTTGACCAGAAGATGGCCACTTGGAATGCCTCTGATGTCACTGTGAGAAGGTTTTCCATTGTGCATGTGGCAGGGCTCAGACTGCATTGTAGTAGGTGATCTGTGGTTTGTTCTTCTCCACACTCGCATGTTGTGGACTCCACTTCGTAGCCCCATTTTTTAAGGTTGGCTCTGTATATCGTGGTGCCAGAGCGCAGTTTGTTCAGCACCTTCCAAGTCGCCCAGTCTTCTGTTTGCTCAGGGGGAATCGCTCTTCTGGTATCAGCCACGGATTGGGGTTCTGGGTTTTAGCCTGCCACTTTTAGACTCTCACTTGCTGAAGTGTTCCTGCGAGTATCTCTGTAGATCTTAGGAAACTATTTCTTGATTTAAGGCATTGGTTTGCTGGCTGATATCTGAACAGGGGATGGGCCGGAGATGTCAATGCCTTGGTCCTTTCATTACTGGCTGCTACTTCTCGATGGATGTCAGGTGGTGTGGTACCGGCTAAACAGGAGAGATGATAAAGAACAGAGAAGAGGAAGGTCCCTCTGTTCTGAATAAGGATAAGGGATAATGCCACTAAAGCTGGGAGAAAAACTTAAAAGCATCTACATAAAGATAGAAGTATGATTGATAATAATAATAGTGCATAATATGTGCCTATTTCTTTTGAATAATGGAAAGTAAAACACTTTATTTCCCCTTTTTTCCTCCCTCCACCTGTTAGCATGGCAGGAGAGCCGAGGATAATTTATCAAATGCCAACATGCCCTAAATCAGAAAAAATAGAGGATGCTTTATTATTGGAGTGCCCAGTGGTAAGATTCTTTTTTTTTAACTTAGCAGAACATGTGTCAGACGCACTTGTGTCCCTTCCATTGTATTTTCCCTCTACGCCTTTTAATTAGAAGCCCAACAAATGCAGTTGTCTCTGGGGAGCAACTTTTGGGACTGAAATAAGCAGTACTGTATGTTTTAAAGTGAAGCTTCCATGGATTGCTCAGTTATTTACATATTTACAAGAATCTGCTGGTAGCCTGGATCTAATACACTATGCAAGGAGGAAAATCCATCATAAGATGTCCTTCCTTTCAGGATTGTGGAGACTGAATATATATATGAAATATCTCAAAGAAAGATGATTCATGGGTTGGGAAGCAAAATCAGATACATGCTCTGTAAATTTAAAAATCAAACTGTTAAAACTTGCTTCTGGCACAAGATATTATGTAGTTGGCCCTCTGTAGCCACGGATTTTGGATCCAGGCATTTAAGCGCCCCTGACTTGAGAATATTCCAAAAATAAAATTCCAGAACAGCAAGTATTGGTTTTGCCATTTTATACAAAAGACACCATTTTACAATGTCATTGTATATAATGCAATGGTTCCCAACCTTTTTCTTTTTGACAGGGACAACTCACTAACATTAGTACCAAAAGGATTACAAATCAGTTTTTGGTCAACTTTAGATTCTATTTGAGTATTTGGGATGCTGATACAGAAAATTGCATTGCATAGACCACATCAGCTCTAGTTTCTGATACAGAACATATGCCATCCAGTAGTTGTATCTGCTTGCCCACAGAAAGCCATATTTAATAAGCCTCGGCACTATAAGAAGGTTTTGCGAGACCAGTTGCTCTCATTGCAACCATGTAGTAACAGTGAGGCTGCGGACTATATTTTAGTTCTTGTGGACCATTGTTTGGGAACCACTGAAATAATGGGACTTGAGTGGTCCTGAAACCAAACCCTTACAAATACCAAGGACTCACTGTAGTAACAGGATGGCTAGAGTATGGCAGAGTGGGATTGTATCTCTGTGTACTGTGTGCAAAGGAATGCATAATGCCACGTGACACAAGGATAGGTACTACCCTCACAGTTCCTTGGCCTGATAGGAATTTGAAGGGTAACGTATCGGGTTGAGCAGGTCGTCAGTGTTTCCTCACCTAGCAGGTTTACTGTCAGCTTTTTACTGTTTGATGTATCAGTATAAGCTATCAACATTGTCTGAAACTGAGATGTTTTAGGCCAAACCAGAGCTCCTTCACACTTACAGTGCTATAATCCTGTTTCAGTTGCCACAGCAACATCCTAGCAAATCCTGGGACTAGTAGTTTAGGAGGGTGTTCTAGTCCCTCACCAAATAGCAAATCCCAGAAATTGGGGCAGTCATAGTGAAATTGAAGCACTATAATTGTGTGATGTGAAAGGGCTCTTCTCTTAGGTTAAACAAACATGTGAGATTGGTGAGCCAGCCCTTTCTTTTCTGTGGCCCTTCCATCATTTATTGAATCCAGAGCAAAGTGTGTAGGCTCACCATAGATTTCAATATGCTGGGAAAAAAATCAGTATTGTGAAATATTTTATGTAATTAAATCCTTTCAATTCAGGGTGAAGCACTGCCCAATCCATCAGACTACAAACCTTCCTTGGCGGTTTTGACAGCTCATAACTGGCTTTTACGTCTCTCCGCAACTACAGGAGAAATACTTGAAAAAGTGTATCTTGCCACCCAATGCAAATTCAGGTAATAAAGGTAGGCCCTCTAGAGCACTTTATTAGCAAATTACTCAGCACGGGGCTTACTACTTTCGGCTACAATCCTGAATTCATTTACTAGAGTATCTGGGATTGGCATTGCCCTTTTAGTGTTGCTGAAATGCAAACCAGCCCCCCACCCTACCCCTGTTTTCCTTGCCATTGGCTATATTGGAGAGAGCCACTGAGAGCTGAAGTCCAAAACATGGGCCACATAATTCCCACTTCTTTACCAATTAAAACTTGCATACAACCTATCTTGTATAGGTTTAACACAGCTGATTAATCACCAGCAGCAATAGATCTTTCCCAACTGAAAGTTTGAGACGAGGTTGAGGTGAACACCTGACCTTCAGCCTAGCTTACTGTCCGCCTAAGCAGTTTGAAAACAGCTGTGAGCTGTAAATAGAGAAATCAGGCACTGCTTAAGCAGTAAGGTATTTTATGGCACCATTTTAAAAAAAACGGCGATCAAAGAACAGGAGGAAAGTCTGTGATCAAAAGATTTGTCATCCTAGAGGATGTAGTGACAGTACTCCTGTGGCCAGAATCAAGCGTAATCTCCAGGATGCCGAAGTTAGAAAACTGTCGACACATACCTCTGTCTGTCTATCCTGTATGACTAACAGCATTAAATGTTTGCTGTGTATGTGTTCTGTGATCCACTCTGAGTCCCTTTCAGGGTGAGAAGGACAGAATATAAATGCTGTAAATAATAATAATTATTATAATTATACGTAAATGTCTTAAGTTTAGATTACATTGAATTGTAAGTACCTCCCATGGGAGCATTTAGGACTGGCCTGTTTGTGAAAGACCTATCAGATTGTGAAAGGCCACTGCTTGGTCATGGAAAATTCATTGAGTTGGCAAGAGTTGATAGCTACTTTAATCCAAAAGAAATGGTCCCAAGTGGTCTTAATCATATCCTTTCTTGGTCAAAGACCTCATATTTATCTCTAGCACTTCCTGCCTTACAAATAAGCTTTGCCTTGTTCCAAAGATTCCACTCCCTTCTCTTTTGTCTCAGAATGAGCTGTGACCCCTCCGATGTTTTGACCATCAAATCCCATCAGCTCTATCCATCCTAGCTAGTGGTAAGAGGTGGGAGTCATGTAAAACATCTGGAATGCCAAAGGTTCTCTATGCCTGGCATCTGAAAGAGGTACTCATAGTCGGCTGGTCAGTCTTTGGTGGAATTGACATTTTAGCCAACGCTCCAGATGCAAGGGCCCTTTATTTATATGGTTCAATCTGCATATCCATGAGGGGTATATTCCTGAACTTACAGTGGATCAGGAACCCATGGATAATAGAGAACCCTAGAGAAATGAATTACTTCCTTGAGAAGTTAACATAGAATGTCACTGGAGGAGCTAGAAAATTCCCCAATTTCCCTCTCTAGCATTTTCCCTCTCTATAGCAATTTCCCTCTCTAGGAAATTGCTATATCCCCAAGGCAATTCTGTGATAACTTGCTGCAGAAGCATGTCATAGTATCATCCAGAGAACCTAGAAAGCTTAGAGTGAACTCATTTCGTTGGACACGGGTAGCTGAAACTGGATACCGGTTCCACGAGTATGAAGTTTTTTTAATGTATAGAACTTTGAAAAACATATGGCTTTTAGTCTTTCCTGAAATATATTGTATTTCATTTTACTGACGTGTGGTCAATTTACTCTTTATTCTCAATAGATACCTGAGCTGGGACACTCCACAAGATGTCATGGTTGTTAAGTCAATTCAGCAGAAGCTTCCAGGGGCTGCAAGGCAGGTATGTTCATTTGAAAGGAAAAGATGGTGAGAAAAAGACTTAGTGAATCAGATCAAAGGCCTGTCTCGATCAGCATTCTAAAAGAACCAACCTGTTACAGGTTTCTGTATGGAAAGGTTGTTAAATGATCAGGAGTATGTTGAATGCGATTTTCCTGCTTCTTGAAAGGGGTTAGACTGGATGGCCCATGAGGTCTCGTCCAACTCTATGATTCTATGAATATCCAGTATCCTGTTAGTGATATGTGTGAGTACAAGTCAATCTTAGCCATGTTTTTCCCACCTTTTTGCCATTCCATGGTTGGTAGAGAGAGTGAGGAATCAGAGAAGCACATTGTGATGCCCCATAGTCAGATGCAGAGCAATGGCATTCCCTGTAGAGACCTCAACAGAAATATAGGAAAGATATTATTGCTCTGTGTCTACATAGGGGGGCAATATATAGAACACAGATATCTATTACTGAGATACACAAGGTATTATGTTATTGTTGTTGAAACTTCAAATATAATGTCATATGACAGATTTATTACTTATATACACAATAATTTATCCATGATAAAGAGAAGTTGTTCTTCTATATTGTGTATATAAGTAATAAATCTGTCATATAACATCATATCTGAAGTTTCAACAACAATAACATAATACTTTGTGTACATAGGGGGGCAGCCAGCTGCTTTTTTATTTCTCCTCACCCCACAAATCACAAAATGGTGTGTCACAGTGAGAAGCACCACAGCAAATCCATGAGTTCTGGGACTCTTGAAAGATGACTTATATTGAAATTCCATCTTTAGAACTTTTACACTCTCTGCCTCTGTATGCAAAACAGAATGTATACGTATGTGTGTAAATATGCATGATTTCATTTATTATTTATTTCCCACCTTTTTCCATAGCTCGAGGCGGGATTCAGCATTAAACTACAATATATAACTACAAACACATAGAACCACTTAAAACACCTAAATGAAAAAAAAACACATGTCAACATGTCAACATCAAACTTAATTCATTGATGCCCTTAGGCATCAAAATTATTCATACCCTTCAAAATGTCAATTTAAAATTTATTGTGGGTAGACCTACTGGAAGAGACAGATCTTTAATGCTTTCTAAAATTCAGACAGAATCTCTTCCTGTGGGTCATTCCACAGTCTAAGAGTGTCCCATGTGTCTTAGGAGAGAGAGAGAAAGAAGACAATTCACATTTGCGTATTTCCTTGTTGTGCTGCACAAACCTGTATATAATTATTTATAGTGTTCTCCTTCCTAGGCAGGTGTCCAGCAGTCTGTGCTTTTTGTTCTTGCTATCTTCAGGGTTCTGCCACTCTCGTTTATTGGAATGCTAGAACTGGACAAAAAAGTAAGTTTCCTGGCTCAGTACCTTGTAGTACTAAAATATGGATTAGAATACATCAAGACAATTATCTTTTCTCCTTGTGATCCATTAGAAAGCTCATTAGCCTTTTCTCCAAGTTATGTCACATTTATTCAAAGAAATGCCAAGATTTGATACTTGGTTATACTTTTACCCATTGATCATACGCTGTTGACACTACTCAAAAACTTTAATAAATGCATTCTTTGCACATTGTGACCCCATCCAAGCACCAGTCACTTTTAATTGATGTTTTAATGTCTGTGTTTTTAATAACTTTGGATTTTAATGCTATTTAAATCAATATGTATATATGTATATATGGCATTGAATTGTTGCCATTGTAAAGCCGTCCTGAGTCCCCATCCCAATTATGCGCAGGTTTCACAGGAGTGTAAGTCGGTTTTTTATTTCAAAGTTTGCTTCTGTTTAGGAAGCTGAAGGAGAGGAGCCCCAGGTGGCGCAATGGACTGCTGACCAAAATCTGAGGAGCGGGGTGAGCTCCCTTCTGTCAGCCTCAGCTTCTCATGCAGATATTTATTTATTTATTTATTTACTTCTTTTGTATACCGCAAATATCAGCCTAAAAAGGCGACTCGAAGCCTTCCACAGGAGAGAAGCCTTCCACAGGATAGAAAAACATCCGGACGTCCCCTGGGCAATGTCCTTGCAGATGGCCAATTCTCTCACACCAGAATCGACAGTTTCTCAAGTCGCTCCTGACACAAAAAAATATTGAATTGTTGCCTTTGTAAGGGCATCCTGAGTCCCCTGCAGGATGAGAAGGGTGGGGTACAAGTGTGGTAAATAAACATGCTAGGAAAAGTAGGCTAGATCTGGAATGAAAATATAATATTAGGTCAGAGGCTTAATCCTTCCTCGTGTTGCCATTTTTTCAGATAAATATTATTTATTTATTAATAAAAGGCACATTTTCATATTTTTATACAGATTTTAACTGCCTATTGTTTTATGTGGCCGATGGGTTTCATGTTTTAGTCAAGGTTGTTTTATTTGCTTATTTTTAACTGTTAGTTTAAATTGTTCGTTTGTTTCTGTTTTATCTTATCATTGCACATGGCACTGAATATTTGCCATCTTTGTTTTTGGAAGCCACCCTGAGTCCCTTTGGGCAGGGGGGGCCACTTAAAAATAAAGTTGTTGTTGTTATTATTATTATTATTATTATTATTATTATTATTATTCCCTGCCTCTCAAGTTGCTGTTTGCTATGGAAAATTTATGTATCTCTTATGTAGGGTGGAGATTTTGGCAAGTGCAAGAGGCTTCTACTGGTCTCTATGATTATGAGATGTTTTCTTTCCTTTAAACCAGTTCTTTGGGAACAGCATGACAGATGCTTCGATGTCTCACAGTATGTTGATTGTGACTCACAGTACAGGTCTCGTCAGACTCTATAGCTTTCAAACTATCTCTGAGCAGGTAAGAAAATAGTCTTACTTAGCAGTAGTGTTACAGCAACATCGATATATGTGGCATACTAAAACAGCACAATTGACAGTATTTGGACTCTCAGGTTGAGAACCACTACTCTAAAGTCTCACAGGGGATCCGTGCAGTCCTCATCTTCCAATAGTTGCCCATCCCAGTGCAAAGTAGTGCAGAATGGCTCAGCCTAGTAGCCTCTAGATATGTTGGATTGCCACTCACTTCATCTTTCTGCCAACATGGTCATTGACAACATTGGTGATCTTGAGAGTTGTCGTCCAGCATGCCTAGAAAGTGTCAGGTTTGAGGAGTCTTGTACAGAATAAGCTTGTACAGAGTCTTGTCCAGTAGCCTTCAAATACAAGCCTTCTCTGTATTTAAGATCACTTTTCTTAGGCAACAATTTTTTGCAAAGTGAGCAGTATGAGAAAAAAGGCTTTCCATCAGCAGAATCCTTTGGATTCAAGCCTAGTGCATTAATAAAGGCTTGAATTACAGTGGACCCACCATATCCAGAAAGATTTAGTTCTGTGAAAAAATGGGGACAACCACGCCCAAAATATTATTAAATTACAGCGACATAAATGCACATGTTTTAGGGCATCCATGTCTGCATCATTGTGTTCACACCCATTTATGAATATAGGGCATGATATTCCTGCTCACTGGGAATCCAGTACATATTATTACTATGTACTACAAATTAAGAAACAAGGTGGAGATGACAGTAATAATAATTATAATAATGAATAATAAGAGACATAAACACATTCGCCCAGGAGTAAGTTGCTCTCACTGGAACCTTCTGGAGATGCATGAATAAGGCTCTGCTATATGTATAACTTAGTTGAATGCACATACATGTATATTGTCTTTATTTATTTATTTATTTGAAACATTTACATTCCGCCCTTCTCAGGGCAAAGCACAGCATATATACGGTAAACATTCAATGCCGGGACATAAAACCATAAATGTATACAAACATTAAAATCAGTTATATCCACATTAAAAGTTGCTTAAAACCATCTCAGGACACCATTTTGCCTCATTGCACTGCCCCAAAGGCTTGGCCCCACAGCCAGGTCTTCACTATCCTCCTGAAGGACAGGAGGGAAGGAACTGATCTAATATTGCCAGGAAGGGAGTTCCATAACCAGGGGCAATCACTGAGAAGGCCCTGTGTCTCATCCCCGCCAAATGCCCCTGTGATGGTGGCGGGACCGAGAGTAGGGTCTCCCCAGAAGATGTGGGACGCAGGGAGCACACAACGCCCTTGTTGTCCCAGCTCCACTGGCTGCCGATTTGCTACCGGACCCAATTCAAGGTGCTGGTCTTGGCCTACAAAGCCCTAAACGGTTCCGGCCCAAAATACCTTTCTGACCGCATCTTGGCCTACGAGCCCACGAGGACCTTGAGATCGTCTGGGGAGGCCCTTCTCTCAATCCCGCCTGCATCACAGGCACGGCTGGCGGGGACGAGAGAGAGGGCCTTCTCGGTGGTGGCCCCCCGGCTGTGGAACACTCTCCCGGCACACATTAGACAGGCGCCCTCCCTCATGTCCATTCGAAAAAGCCTTAAGACCTGGCTGTTCGAGAGGGCATTTAATTAAGTGCTAGCATTGTCATTACAGTAATGAGAATTGGAATGGTATAAGGACGAGGAGACTGGCCTACGATTCTACTAAGAGACGAAGCGGATTTTTATGTAGTTTGTATTGTTGTATTGTGTGTATTGTGGATATTGGCTTTTGTAACTGTCTTTTTACGTGTACTGTACACCGCCATGAGTCGCCCGTAAGGGCTGAGAATGGCGGTTAATAAGTGCATCTAATAAATAAATAAATAAATTCATAAAGGGAGATGCGTTCAGACAGGTAAACAGGTCCGAATGATTATATGTATCATATGATGTGATGCACATGCACATACATGTTTGTGTGTGTTTTCTAACGTTTTTTCCATCAGAACTTGATATATGTTGCAAAGAATTGGTTATATGTTGCAAATAATCAGATTTGTGTTGTTTTTAGTTTATGCAGCATCAAGTGGACTTGGGACAAGAATACAACTGGAACGGCAAAATTGGGATTGTGGGAAAATACCCTTTTGGTATTCCATGTAACATTAAAATAACAGGTATATATGAAGATTAATAGTTTTACCAATGCAGTGAAATAAAAAAATGCTAGTGCTCTAACACTGATTTTATAATATGTGTTCTTTCCTAATCCTTCTGCTCTGTTTTTTTTTTGTTTAGTTTAAAATACCATATGTCTTTTCTTGTAATCACAATATTGCTTTTATTGATATGTATCTGTCGAAGAGTAAGGATGGGTTGTACTCCTGGTTAAGTCTGTAAAGGATTTCAGACACATGCACACACAGAGATATTTATTTATTTATGACAATATATGCCACCCTTCTCACCCCGAAGGAGACTCAGAGTGGCTTACAAGATATAGATAGATAGATAGATAGATAGATAGATAGATAGATAGATAGATAGATAGATAGATACAATGTATTATATTATTAGCATAGTACAATATCAGTATTAAATATTACTATATTGTACTATACCATTATACTGTAATATTATTAGTAATATTACATGTAATATAAATATATAAATATATCATATTATTAGTATTATATTGCATTACATTATAATGTTATAAATATTATATGTCTATACAATATATTACATTACATTACATTACATTACATTACATTACATTACATTACATTATATTATATTATATTATATTATATTATATTATTAACAAAGCACAGGAGACAAAGTGGAACTGTCTCCTGGCACCCTCTCTCTTCACTCTGGCCCAGAGCAGCAGTTGGTGCTGGGGGAGGGATCCCCAACTGATGGCATATGCATCTTTTGAATATATATATATATATCCTTCCTTCCTTCCTTCCTTCCTTCCTTCCTTCCTTCCTTCCTTCCTTCCTTCCTTCCTTCCTTTCTTTTAGACTGTTATTCTGTCCCATATGTATGTTTTTAGTCAAGGGGTACAGCATTAAAAATCACCAAATAAAGTATCAATTTAAAATCACGCTGTATATATAAGACATGTGTTCTTGGTGAAAGCACTAATGTTGGCCAGGTCAAACGTCACTTGGGCAAATTTTCTGGAGAAAGAATTGCTCCATAATTAGTCTTTAAGAAGGCAAGTCTGGGAAATGTTTATACAGGAATTTGAATGGCAGGTCCACATGATTCTTAGCTATACTAAGGCTGTCTGGCTTAGTATTTAGGTCATTATCTAATTTTCATTTTATTCTGTAGCCCATAAACTAATAAAAATATTGTCAATATATTACCAACATATGTCTAGAGAGTAAAAAAAGCCCATTTGGCAGTGTCTTGGTAGCGTGAAGATCGTGGCAGTGTCCATTGGTCAGAGCCAGAACAGTGAGGGCCCAAATACCAAATGGCATCTCAAGGCAGAGATAGTTTGTCTATTGTACTTTGTGAGTTGTAAATAGGGACAACAGGTCAAAGATTCAAGCAACCTAATTTAGGGAAGAGCCTTTGGACAGTGTTAACTATTAACCATTTTACTCTGCTGCTTTACCGAAACATTAGTAAATCTACTACTAATCACCTAGTGGCTTTGCAGTAAATCTTGGTGCGCTATCTTATACTAAAACAATGGTTTTAAAACTTTCTGCCTTCATTGAATCATTTCCATGTCTCATTGCAAAGGGCTAAGGGACATGTTCTCAGGCCCACAAGCCTATAGGGGCTATCTAGGCCTTGCAATTGTCCCACATCAACTAAATAGTGTATGCAGCTATGTGCCCGATGTCCTCCACTGTTTGCACACCTTTATGACAGTGTAGACAAGGTATTTTTGAGGAAAGGTGACTACTCTTAGTATAACGGTCACTTTGTATTATAGTACAAAGTGTACTATAATACACTTTGGAGTAGCAGCTACCCCTTCACATTTGCCTGATAGAAGCAATTCCGATCCTGACTACAGTCAGCCTTCCACATTTGCTGGGATTAGGGGCACAGGACCCCTGTTAACATGAAACACCATTAATAAAACAGCTATTTTTTAACTTGAGAGATCTAGGTTTTCCATCCCAGCTAGAAGCTGATCACAAAATGGGGCCTTAGAGCAGCAGTGGGCAGGCTTTGGCCCTCCAGGTGTTTTGGACTTCAACTCCCACAATTCCTAGGTAAACTAGCTGGGATTTCTGGGAATTGAAATCCAAAACACCTGGAGGACTGATGTTTACCTTTGCCTGTCTTTAGGACCCTAAAGACTGGTTCTTTTGAGAAATCTCTAGGTACTCCACTATAAATGGAGGTAGCTGACCATAGCATTACACTGGAGGATCTAGAGATTCCTAGAGAGAACATTTTGAATTAAATCTTTTAATGTGGAGGGATGACTACACAGACTCTAAGCACTCTGTGTGTGCTCAGTCTTTAAGGTTTTACCCAGAAACAAATTGAATGATAAAGCTGCTTTCCTCTCAATTGGATTCTCAACATCCCTTGCTGTCCACAGGTGCTCCTGACTTGCTTTTTGAGGTGTCTTCCCTGGAGAGCACATTTCAGATTGGAGGATTCCCCTGGCATTACATCATCACTCCTAACAAGAAAAGTCAAAAAGGAATCTTCCATATTTGTTCCCTGAAAGACCACACTTTGGTAATGGTTTCACAGGATTTTACACTACGGCCTCTGGAAGATAAGAGAAGCAAAACTGTCTTCCCTGATTATCCATTTCCTCAAAGAGTTTGTAAAGATGACTTTTAAGTATTACATTCCCTTGTATTTCTGTGTGTGTAAAAGAAAACCCTGAACAGTAGCCAGAAAGCATCTTAATAATGGCAGACTTTGGTATGAGATGGATAATCTCTTAAGAGGGCAAAATATCTGTTCCCATACTCACATGTGGAAGTGTTGCCATTGGAAGGATAAATGTCTTATGGCAATATATTTAGGATTATTATTGTTGTATGCCCTCCATTCATTTCTGATCTATGATGCCTCTGTGACAGAATAGAGCAACATTTGTTCAGACTGGGTTTGCCATTGCATTCTTCTTAGATTTTATAATAGTCAAATGTTCCATTTTAAACATGAAATCCCCTACATTGAAATAGTCCTTCTAGAAGCTTTTTAAAGGTTCCCAATCCTTCGTGAACTTTGAAGTGTCTTTTGACTGAAGGTATCCTGTCAGAATGTCCATCTCAACCACCTCTGCCACTTTCACCATCCATTCCTCCACTTCTGGTGTTTCTTCCAATTTCCACGTAAACAATTCTCGCAGCAATTGTCAACAGGGTGAAAAGTTTGTCATGTGTCTTCAAAAGTGATCTGTCTGTTATTCCTAGTAGAGGTTCATGGGTATTTTAAGCTTAATTACTTTTTCAATAGTTTTATGGATCTTAATCCAAAAGCTTTTTGCCTTCTTGCAAGACCACCACATTTGGAAAAATGACCCCATTACTTGTTTGCATTTCCAACAAGTATTTTTCAATTGTGGCTGCATTTTAGCTATTTTGATAGGTGTCATATGAAATTAATAAAGCATTTTGTAGACATTTCCCAGAGTGATTAGTTTGAATATTTTTCTTTTTACTCTCCAGAGGTGTTCCCACTCTTCAAAGCTGATCGAAGGGCCAATATTTTTGGCCCATTTTATCGTATATTCCTTGACATAGTCGTTTTCTGTGTGTAATTTTAGCAGGAGATTGCAGAACTTAAATAGTTATTTATTTCTTAATTTCAGTATCTTATCAAGATTAGTCTTTTCTTCTTCAAATCCTGTCTATTCATCCTTTTTGGTATTGATGAAGTATTTGTGCATAATCAAACCTTTTCAGGTTGTAGTGTTGGTTTATTTCTGTTTTCAGTTGGAGGTTGCCTCATGTTTCCTTGACATATCTGCATATGTTGGCCGTCTTTTGCTATTTCTACTTTGCTTGGAATTTCTACTTTGCTTGAAGGCTTGCTGAATCGATGTCCATTGTGGTATTTTTGTATGAAATTTTCTTTTATGCTTGTTCCAAGTTTTAATCAGAATTTTCCTAATTGGGTGTTTGTTAAAATTTGGATCTTCTGCCACTATTCCATAAATTACGTATGCATGTGTACCAAATTTGAAACCTTCTCCTTCAAGAGTTTTGAGACTTTGATAGTCAAGATAGATCCATTCTTTTAGCTGATTCAATATAGCTGCTACTCTATATAAATAAGGTTTGGGAGGGCCAGTCCTCTTTGTTTAGTGTCTTGTAGATTTTTCATCTTTATTCTAGCTTTCTTCCCTCTCCAAATAAATCTTGTAAGTTCAGTAAATTCTTTTTCCTGGATGTCAATTGGGATACCCTGGAACAAGAAGCATAGTTTGAGTAGAACGTTCATTTTTGTTGTAGCTATCCATCCTAGGAGGGAGATCTCCAAAGTCATCAATTATTTCAAGTCTTTTTAAAATTTCATTCCAAGTTTTTCAGTTATTTTTATATAGATTCTTCTTAGTCATTGTTAAGTTTCTTCCTAAATATTTTGCTTGGAGATTTGTTTTGATTCCTATTTCTTGTCTTAGTTCTTCTTTTCCAGTTATGCTGTATGAGGAAACATAACACTGCCTTCAGATGAATTATATTTTTAGCTCCAAATGTGTCTTTTTCACTTCTAGCTCATCCTTTATTGTTGTAACATACAATCCAAGTTACATTTCTATATAACAAACTAGGTGAGAAATACCATCTTTGCCTTCTAAATCACACAGAAATAGGACATATAGATTAAAATGGGGGGAAATACATTGTTATGCTTATCAGAGAATTGTGTTTCAGAAGAATATTGGATGTCACTTCTGTTTCTTTCTGGATTAGGCCCTGGAGGAAGAAAAGCTTTCCTGGGCTTAAAACTGGCCCAGAGGAACCAAAATAAAGCATGATATGTTTTACTGGGGATTATTGGCCAATTTATACTGATCAATAAAAATGAGTGCGAGGGGCAGCCATGGAGGTTGTCCATGGGATGGCGTTGAATATAACCTTCACAACAGACTAGATATCTGAAGAACAACTTAGCTTAACTATGGTGACCGTCATCACTGAAAGGTTGGCCATTGGGAGATAAATTGGCCACAACAACAATAATCATAATGATGTTGTGAAATGCTTATGATTTGCATCAGTGAGGGATTTATCTGCCCAAATTAAATCACATATCTCCAAGTAATCAAGATAGACCTTGTATAAGACAATAATATTGTGATTGAATCTATGTCCCACCTTTCCCTCATAAAAGGGCCTGCAAGCACAATTTAAAACATACCAGTATTGAATACATCACCACAAAGAGCCCTGAACAAAGGTCAGTTGCTAAAGACCCACTTGAATCACATGGTAAATTCCTGCCATGAGATATAGTGGATTTGGCCCATTGTAGTGAATGACCAGATCTCCTGATTGAACAGTCAGGGTGACAGAATTTTGTATTGCTAACATGTTATGTGTTTTGTTCGATGTTTGTTCCAGATATCCTGAAGTTTCTGTTTCATTATTTCAGGCAAAGAATGGCGTACAGGAAATGAAATGTTGCTCATTGGAACCTGACTGGATAACTTTCCACCCAGACAGTTCTGGAAGGATACTACACGTGGGACCAAATTTGATTAAGTAGGTGTTTACTGAAAATTTGCCAATGCTAAGCTACAACCGAACAATTCTCCAGCTCTTACCAAGAAATTATAACATGTTTTTGACCATTTTATTGCCTGATGCCTTTCAGAAAGAGTCAATAGATAAATCCCTTTTATTTACTGATCTCCCTTTTATTACTGATGCCTTTCAGAAAGGGTCAATAGAGAAATCCATGCCGATAGCCACAGTAGCTAATTGGAACCTCTATTTACAAAAGCAACTTCCATGTGACCACCAGATACTGAGAACACAGGAAGGGGGGGGGGGCCTTCTGCGTTCAGCCTATTTTTGGAAAGAAAATGCTAGATGGATTTGTAAAATGAATCTATTAGGGTTTTCTTTGATTCCGCAAGTATAAAAGATAATAATTGAAATAAAGGAAGGGGAAAAAAGTAACATCCTCAAGGAGGTCTGGGAAGAAGATTTAGGGATAAAAATAAATGAAACAGAGTGGCAACAATCTTCTGGTTTTCTATAAACAATCTTCTGGGTTTTTTGGTTTTTTTTATAAACAGTTGCTTTGATTTCCTAATGGTGTTGAGAGAGGAGAGTTGCCCCCTGTTTCAGAAGACAATTGTTGCTCAACAAGGAACAGCAATTTCCTTTTTTCTGCTATATGGATTTGGGAAGGACCTTGAACCAATAAAAATGACTTTGTAAGTTGCATAGATTCCTATCACTATCATAGACCATAACTGAACAGAAGATTGGAAGCATCCTTATACCAGGTCAGACTTAGGCAGAAATATCTTTTGAAGAATTTGCTACCTGGTCCTTCCAGCAGAATTTGTCCTGCATGCAACGGACCAAGAGCCCATCACCCCTTCTTTACATCTAAAAAAATTGTAAACTATCCAAGTCATTTGGGAGAAGAGGTGAAATTTTGCAGTCAACCATGTCAAATATAGCTAGAAATGGACACAGTATATGACAGAGTCTTGGGTCCATTGCTCATTTGAAAATATGCTTAAAATGTACTGGTTTACAGCATGGTGCAATTTGGCTGGCTTTGTAATTTAGTTGTTCCTTCAAGTAACCTATATTTCTCACAATGACCGCATAACTTAATTCTAGGTGAAAATGTGTTTCTGTACTGTACCTTCTTTGGCGTGACATTCTCCTTAGTTTTGTTTTCTTTCTTTTTTCCCCCAACAGAGTTTTGAAGCTGAAAGAAGTGGAAGGCAATACAGAACAGCAGAAAGTTACAGAAGATTTCATCATAGAAGCCAGCCGAGAAAATAATGTGAGATTATAACAAGAAAAATATAAAATCCTACCTTTTAATTTTTGTGTGTTCTGTATGTTGTAGAAGAATTAACACAGGACTGAACTGAGAGAAAATTGTCTGAGATACATTACTGTCAGTGTACAGGTGCCTCTTCATAATTTGTAGACTTACCTAAATTAGTTCTCTGTCATAGGTTAATCATTGTAGATTAACTCTACAATGGGTCAGTGCGTGTACTTTTCAGTGAAGCTGGGACTCACAATTCATCTCAGAGCTAGCAGATGATGAAGAAACTTGTCTAAATCAACCTTCTTTTCTCAAAGTAGTAAGCATTGTTCTTTCAAGCCATCTGATACATTACTTCAGCCCTGCTTGCTGAGACCCCTTCTACATTGCCATATAATCCAGATTATCAAAGCACATAATCCACATTATCTGCTTTGAATTGGATTATATGAGTCTACACTGCCAGATCATCCAGTCCAAAGCAAATAATCTGGATTTTATGTATCAGTGTAGAAGGGACCTGAGATTACTACATGACTTCACCAGAATCTGGATTGCTCCATGGTTACCATCGGTCACTGAGATTTGTCTAGTCATCCTGACGTCATGATTAATTATGAATATACTTAACTTGTATACAAATCTGAACTGAATTAATATAGAGTTTTTTTAGGACTAAGTCTTCATACTGAGGATTGAATTTTGAAAATATGTGGGTTAAAACACTTTTTTTAAAAGGGCAGATCGCTCTTTCAACGCTGAAGTCCATAGCTTTGGATTCAAAAACTGATACACTTGGTTTGTTTTCCTGTCATTTTTTCCCTTGCATGCATCCTGTCCATTTATGAATTGAATTAAGGCCAGTGAGGTAGAGAGGAAACCTGAATCTTGAAGGAAACGTTATTCAACCACAGTTCCAAATAATGAGACTTGTTGATTGGATCTTACACTGAGTACTCCGTAACATTATATTTAATGGTGTTATCACTCTGAATGATTTTGTTTTAAGAGACTAGTACGTATTTATGCAAAAAATATAGCGGATAAAAAGGAACATGAGAATTAATTTAAGAATCGATTTATTTTTTTCAGATTTGTTTATTTTCTGATTTGATTAATGTGTTCTTTCTTGGAACCTCTAGATCTTTAGGGCAGCTGCTTTCTCTGAATCTCTAGGTCCTCCGTGATCAATTTGGAGGATGAAGAGATTCCTAAAGAGCTGTTCTCTCAGGTTAAAAAAATGTTGTTGTTTTTTAAAAAAAAAAACGTTTTTTCACTTCTGCAGAGATCCTGCACACCTAGTCCCTGCAAAAGTGTAGAGCCTGTTGTTACAGTGCTTCTAAGATAATTTTAACAGCCGCAAAACATTTAATAATTGAAGAGCTTGAAGTGGCTTCTTGAGCTGTAACAGAACAACAAGCTATTTATTTATTTATCGTGTCAGAAGCGAATTGAGAATAGTTATAATGTATTTAAAAAACCACAAGCTAAAACATTACATTTCTAGACAGAGTGGCTTCTGGTATGTAATGTTGTTATAACAGTTCAGTGTTTATCAGTGACTTCATTCTTCTCTGAAATGCTTTCTAATTAAATGCCATCTGCAGTTTTCAGATGTGTTTTTAATACCACAAAACCTCAAAGCTCACATATCTGTAGCAATGGTACTGTCAGGAACCTATATACCATATTTAGCTAAATGCAAAATTAGCTCAGTTGATTATTTGTTTATTTACCCACCCTTTTCTCTATATTGTGAAACTTGAAGACTGAGAACTCCATAACGGTAACAGCTTCTGGCCGCATAGTGAAGAAGCGTTTTAACTCACTGGATGATGACCCTGAGAAAGAGGTAACTTAAATTGTGGGGAAATCAGGAAAATTATCTTGAATAAGGCAACAGTAAAATGAGCTGTTGTCGAAAGCTTTCATGGCCAAAATCACTGGGTTGTTGTAAGTTTTTTGGGCTGTATGGCCATGTTCCAGAAGCATTCTCTTCTGACATTTTGCCTGCATCTATGGCAGGCATCCCTCTGAGGGATGCCTGCCATAGATGCAGGTGAAACGTGAGGAGAGAATGCTTCTGGAACATGGCCATATGGCCCAAAAAACGTACAACAACCCAAAATGAGCCATGTCGATAAAATGTCTTTGTTTCCTTGTTGACTGGTGATTAGCAAGGACAATCCTTTAAAATAACTTTTCTTTGAAAGATGCAGCTATCATATGCACAGGCAAAACGGTTTAAGGGATGCTACACTTGTGAAATTTAAGTACCTGAGGCAGCTGACACTGATCTAGAGATCCCGAAGGGAGGTGGAATCAAATTGGCTGGTGGAAATTTGGGGCATTCAACGTTATTACCTGCTACATTGCCTACAACTAATTTTAGGCTGTTTGAGAGAATGCGGTTCATGACAAGATGGTAAATAACACAGGGGAAACAGTACAGATCTGAGCAGTGTGCTCCTTGAATCATTAGCGACTATTTTTGGAAACCATTTTTCACCCTCCATCAGGAACTGTGGCTGAGATGACACAGCCACAAGAATTCTAATTCCTCAGCTTCTGGAAACCATTTCCAGCCTTGTTTCCATGGAAATGCATATCATCTGGGTAAAAACATGGCAAGGGTTCCTCCACGGCCTTTAAAATCTGTCATTCATTTACATTCAACTTACCAAATTTAAACAGAGGGGGAAAACATACCAACAGGCAGAATGTCACCCGTAATAGAGCTCCTTTTTAATTTTATGGCCTAAATGACATTTCACAGTAGAGAGCAGTTGGCTTAAAACGTTTTCTGGTAGTTATTGGAGGAATGAATTTCAATATTTGTCCAACATTCATTTTCACAGTGATTTGGATATATAGAGAATTGAAGATCCTACAGTGTTCGCTGTAGTTTCCTTTGTATTCAGTTCCTTAGCTTTTGCTTGTCATTCCACTAAATCATATTTAGATTGGTTACATGAAAAAAGTACAGGGATTCTGTACCTTTGTTATTTTCGGGAAGAGGGAATTCCAGTAGATGTAGCCTGTGGTATAAGATATCTTATTTATTTGTTAAAGTATTTCTTTCTCACCCTTCATCCAAAGACTTGCTGAAATCCCATCTTCCACACAACTCATAAAGGTATCAGAGCTCTCTCCACCTCTTTGTGCTTAGTCCCAATCCAGCATACCTATATTTATTTATTTACTACATTTATATCCCGCCCTTCTCACCACAAAAGGGGTGGTCTTACAAAAGGCAACAGTTTGATGCCATGCACATACGTACATACAGTAAAAATAGACATTAAAACCAAAAATCAACAGCAATATTAAAACAGTTGTTAAAAGCAGGTCATCCAGAGTCAATTGCAAGGCCATTCCATTAGCTATTTCACAATTCCATATACTCATATTGCACTAACTTGCTACCCAAATGCTTGGTCCCATAACCAGGTTTTTACTTTCTTCCTGAAGGTCAAGATTTTGCTGGGGAGGGAGTTCCACAGCTGAGGGGCCGCCACTGAGAAGGCCTTGTCTCTCATTCCCACCAGTCGCACCTGTAAAGAAGGTGGGACCGAGACCAGGGCCTCCCCAGAAGTGCTGGCTTTAGCCTATAAAGCCCTAAACAGTTCTGGCCCAGCTTACCTGTCCAAATGTATCTCCCACTATGAACCAGTTTGGATGTTAAGATCTTATGGGGAGGCCCTGCTCTCAGTCCCACCCCCCTCGCAAGTGCAACTGTTGAGGACGAGGGACAGGGCTTTTTCAGTGGTGGCCTCTCGGCTATGGAACTCCCTGCCCAGCAATATTAGATCGCCGTCCTCCCTCCTGATTTTCAGAAAGAAAATTAAATCCTGGCTGTGGAACCAAGCGTTTGGGGAGTAGTACAACCACAGTGCAATATGCAACCACGCAGCTAATATAAATGAATTGACTTGGACTATAATTGTAGGGATTAGGTTCTATATTTTAACAGTTTTTAAAATGTATTTATATGGCTTATTTTATGGTTTTAATGTGTTGTGTATTTTTTATGTTTTTATGTTGCAAAGTGGCATTGAATTATTACCAAACTGGAAGCTGTTGTGAGTCCTCTTTGGGTTGGAGATAGAGTGGGATAAAAATGCAGTAAATAAATAAATAATAAACTGTACACTACCTGAACTTCTGGAATGACCACCAACCTCTAGAGCCCTGAGTGAAATACATTAAGAAGAGGGAAACCAAGCAATGAGCAGCAGTAATGGATGCACAGTTTATAAAGCTGGGCACTTACTCTTTTTTTATTGTTGGTTTATTTTTCTGCACTGTAACTCAGAAACATTATTTTAAGTGTCCAAAAATGTGACCTGCCTACTAAGCTGGATTTCTTTTTCTTCGATAAGACTTTCAAAATAGTGGATTATGAAGATGAGCTGAATTTACTGTCCATTGCAGCAGTCACCCAGATAGGATCTGATGGAAGTGCTCGCCTTGACCTTCGATGTAATGAGCGTGGGACCCGACTTAAGAGCATTCCTTTTGTGGAATCTTGGGATGTGGTGAGTGGCAAAGGCTAATGAAAGCTTTCATCAATATTTCTAGTACCTGGTGTCCATTTATACATGCCTTACAGATTCCACATATAACCAACACAACCTGGCATGGTTTATCCATTTGCATATGCCATGAAGATGGTAAATGTAGAGATTATATACCAGGGTGAGGGAGTGGGATGGAAAGATATATCAAGATGTGTCTGGAAAAAAAAGTGACCACTATTCTCTGGAGTCACATACACTATGTAATTGGCAGCTATATTTGTTTTCTTTCTAGAGCTGTGCTCTCTGGGTGGAATACATAAACTGACAGGGATTATATTATGTCATTATCTCTTTCCTTGCACTGTCTGTTCCTCACCCTTTTCCAGAATTGTTTTGCAACTTTAAAACAATTTTGATTTTGGGTTTTTTTAAAAGCAAAGTAAGTCAAAGATGACCTTCTGGCAGTCAACAACTGAAAATTCTTAAAGCAACTTTTTTAAAAAGCAAGGCACAAAACTGATAGCTAAGCTTTTCAAGTATTTCTGCTGATAGTGAAACAAATACACAAAAAGTGAGCTTAGATAAAGTTGATTGCTAAAAAATCAGGTTGATGAAATATGTATTGTGGATCGTGTTTTTATGCTTTTAAACTGTATACTGTTGTTTGTTATAAGTTGTTGTAAACCGCGTTGAGTCGCCGGCTAGGCTGAGAAACAGCGGTATACAAGTATAGCAAATAAATAAACCAAAAATTAGTTAATATATGTTTCAGATTATAGAACACTAGATTTTTTTTCTAGTGTAAATTCAATTGCTTTCTATAAATTATGGTCATGAAGCTTCACAGACATTGGAATAAGGAGCAGTGCTTTCCCAGTGTTTCTCCACAAATTGCCATTGACCCTGACCTCTCCCAAGCTTGGGAATGTTACTCTGGGAATTTATAATTCTCAGAATCCTTCCAGTAGAATGGCCAGTCACCATACTGGCTGGGTACTCTGAGAGGTGTGGTGCAAATAAATCACCTTTTAAACCTCTTGTTTTCTACTCCCTCCAATGCTTGGCATGTTCTGCTCCAGAGGTATGACTGAGGTTTGTTATTTTTATTTACCCCAGACATACTCACAAACCCCAGTAGCCTGAGAAAAGTATACCAGAGGGAAGAGAGAGGTATGATTATGAAACAACCAAATCTATGAGCTTGTTACTTTGTTATAGTCAGATGTGATTTCAGCTGCTTCAAAAGTCCTGCAGTCTTTTGTTGTTGGCCTTGAGTATTTATCTACAAGGCGTAATGAATACACATTTGACATTCTACTTACACACTCCCTTGGAGAAACTCTATGCCAGCGGTTCTCAACCTGGGGGTCGCGACCCCCCAGGGGGTCACTGGGCCATTTTCCGGGGGTCGCGAAGACACCTAAGTTAGCTCCGCCCCCCACCAAAATGGCTGCGGGATCCTGTGCGAGCCAAACAGCCAGGCGCTCCTGGTTGGCTCTCCTCTTCTCGCAGGACTGCAGGGAGTCAGGAGGAGGAGCTTGTAGGCAAAGGCATGCGCGGGGCCCTTGCCTCTTGCCTAGCAGAGAAGGGGCGAGGATTGAGCAGGCCACCCAATGCTCTCCTCTTGCCCCCCCCCCCCAATCGCCTCAGAAGGTACAAGCCATGGAGGGAGCTACAGCCATGGAGGGAGCCTTTGCCACTCGCCTCTTGCATCCTCCAGCCTCGGAAGGTGCAAGGGGCGAGTGGCAGGCTCCCCGCATGGCTGCAGCCATGGAGGGTGCCTTTGCCACTCGCCTCTTGCACTCTCCAGCCTCGGCAGGTGCAAGGGGTGAGTGGCAGGCTCCCCGCATGGCTGCAGCCATGGAGGGTGCCTTTGCCACTCGCCTCTTGCACCTTCCAGCCTCGGAAGGCGCAAGGGGTGAGTGGCAGGCTCCCCGGCTGCAGCCATGGAGGGTGCCTTTGCCACTCGCCTCTTGCACCTTCCAGCCTCGGAAGGTGCAAAGGGCGAGAGGCAGGCTCCCCGCATGGCTGCAGCCATGGAGGGTGCCTTTGCCACTCGCCTCTTGCACCCTCCAGCCTCGGAAGGCAAGGGGCGAGTGGCAGGCTCCCCGCATGGCTGCAGCCATGGAGGGTGCCTTTGCCACTCGCCTCTTGCACTCTCCAGCCTCGGCAGGTGCAAGGGGCGAGTGGCAGGCTCCCCGCATGGCTGCAGCCATGGAGGGTGCCTTTGCCACTCGCCTCTTGCACCCTCCAGCCTCGGAAGGTGCAAGGGCGAGAGGCAGGCTCCCCGCATGGCTGCAGCCATGGAGGGTGCCTTTGCCACTCGCCTCTTGCACCCTCCAGCCTCGGAAGGTGCAAAGGGCGAGAGGCAGGCTCCCTGCATGGCTGCAGCCATGGAGAGTGCCTTTGCCACTTGCCTCTTGCACCCTCCAGCCTCGGAAGGCGCAAGGGGCGAGTGGCAGGCTCCCCTCATGGCTGCAGCCATGGAGGGTGCCTTTGCCACTCGCCTCTTGCATCCTCCAGCCTCGGAAGGTGCAAGGGGCGAGTGGCAGGCTCCCCGCATAGCTGCAGCCATGGAGGGTGCCTTTGCCACTCGCCTCTTGCACTCTCCAGCCTCGGAAGGTGCAAGGGGCGAGAGGCAGGCTCCCCGCATGGCTGCAGCCATGGAGGGTGCCTTTGCCACTCGCCTCTTGCACCCTCCAGCCTCGGAAGGCGCAAGGGGCGAGTGGCAGGCTCCCCGCATGGCTGCAGCCATGGAGGGTGCCTTTGCCACTCGCCTCTTTCACCCTCCGGCCTCGGAAGGCGCAAGGCGCGAGTGGCAGGCTCCCCGCATGGCTGCAGCCATGGAGGGTGCCTTTTCCACTCGCCTCTTGCACCCTCCGGTCTTGGAAGGCTATTGTTGGTGGAGCTCAAAATGTTCTTTGGTGCTTGGTAAACTGCAATTCCCAAATGTCAGGGTCTATTTTTCCCAACCCCCTCTCCAGTATTTTCTGTTAGTCATGGAAGTCCTATATGCCAAGTTTGGTTCAATTCTATTGTTAGTGGAGCTCAGAATGCTCTTTGGTGCTTGGTAAACTGCAATTCCCAAATGTCAGGGTCTATTTTTCCCAACCCCCTCTCCAGTATTTTCTGTTAGTCATGGAAGTCCTGTATGCCAAGTTGGGGGTCACCACAACATGGAGAACTGTATTTAGGGGTCACGGCATTAGAAAGGTTGAGAACCATTGCTCTATGCCAAGGAAGCACTAGCCTCAATGGCATGACAGCAACCAAAATACTACGATGCTCCAAGTGCAGGAGACAAACCAAGGAAACTGATTTCAGTCTTGGCAGTTGTCAGCTTTAGAGCCCTGCAGTCACATTGGACTATTTTCCCAATCAGCTGTTTTTTCTCAGCTCTATGTCATCCAACGTGGATGCCTGAGGATATTCCACATGTCAGACAAGATTCTGAGGATGATGGGAATTGTAGTCCATGACAACAAGTTTAAAAATTGGAGTAATATTAGTAGTAATAATATGTATTTATTTATAACCCATTGCGCTCCAAGGATCAAATAGAGCTATGTTCAGTAATTAAGCTTTGAAGCAAGTACATTATGATCTGCAAAGTAAGGTCTTGTCTGCTTATCACTACAAAGCATCTCTGTATTTTACGAGTGCATTCCCCACATTATCTAATAGAACTGAAAATTACTGTTTAACTTTCAGACATACAGCCATGAAGTTTACTTTGACAGAAATGTCGTGCTGCATATTGAACAAAAGCCCAACAGGACCTTCAGTTGCTATGTTTATCAAATGACGTGCAGTCATTCAAATGAAGATGAAAACGTAAAGAAGGGGAAACAAGAGCGTCAGTTTTGTGAAAAACTCGGAAGAACTTTTGAATACTTATAGGATCTTCCTCATTTTCTGTGGACAGCATCCAAAGACTTGCAGTAATTAAAAACTGTCATTAAACTTTGAGTGGGTAAAGGAAGTGTCTCTCAAATTAAGAATGCACTGCAATATTTATTTTTAGAAGCCTTACATATAACACAGTTGACATTGGGATTTTGTTTTTAGAACAAGAGGGGGGTATCCATTTGGCCCAAGGAGTGATATCTTTACTTGGTTCTGTTTCAGTTGTTTTGAAGAGTGCACAGACTTTAGACAACTTAGAAGTATGACTCCATCCTGATTTTTTTTCCATGTCAGGAGCGACTTGAGAAACTGCAAGTCACTTCTGGTGTGAGAGAATCGGCCATCTGCAAGGACATTGCTCAGGGGACACCAGGATGTTTTGCTGTTTTACCATCCTTGTGGGAGGCTTCTCTCATGTCCCAACATGGAGAGCGGGAGCTGACAGAGGGAGCTCAACCCACTCTCCTCGGATTCAAACCGCTGACCTATCCGTCAGCAATCTACCGGCACAAGGGTTGAACCTATTGCATCACCACGGAGTCCAATCCTGATCAACTACTATGATATCATAAGCCTGATGTATGGCATTGTATTTGTTCCATTTCTCCTATACAGGCAGCTGCAGGGACTCTTGAGAGGTCTTGCCACAGTTGTCTGTCTCATTGTGTCCCCCAATGGGCGGGAGCTAAGATTCACTGCCCTCCTCAGGCATCACAGAAATGGGCGTATTATGGCTCTGGTTCGTGGCAGACACGGAAGAAGTCAGTTCAGCTGTTCCAACCTAGTGTTATATGACTTTGGGAGGATTTTTCTTTGTTTTCCCTTTCTCTAGTCTGTTTATATTGGCTTAATGCAAGTTTCCCTTTAGAAATTCCTCTTTTAAGCTATGACATATTTGAGAGAGAATATCTTTAAAACGGAAATTCATTTCTTTAAAAAAAAAACGCTCCTGGAAATTAATATATGTTATACCATTTTCTGTTGTTAATGCATTGTTGAAAAAGAATAGTCCTTGCTTTTACTGGCACAAAACATTTCCACTTTTATTCATCTCTCTTTAAAATTCTGGCACCCAGTGGCCGAACATACATATTTCCTAGTAGGCAATGAGAACAACTACATTGCAGAATAGCACACTGACAATAATGCCTTAAGATCTATGACATAAAAGGCACATAAAAGAAAAGCCTCAAATTTGCTTAACATAGTGAAACCTGCCTATATAAGATGCTCATGATATCTAACTTGATGCTCATGATATCTAACTTTTGTCTGTAGATACTTCAAGAAGATTGCTCCATATGCCTGCAAACATACTAAGGTTCCCCTCCAATATAGGATTCTTATTTTAAAGGACTATAGAGATGTTGCCTTTATGGAACATCACAGCAATCTGTCACTCCTGCTGGTTTAGATCTGGGGTATTTGATGTGGTAAAAATTCTGGATGTATTATTAAATGTAATTCGTATTTAACATTTGGTTTCAGCAGTCAAACAGTTTAGAAGTTCTGCTGTGCCTAATGGTGCTCTTTTCTGTATTTTAAACATTCCAGCACATAAAAAATTTGGTGTAACTCAGTGATGGTCAACTGCAGAAGATGAAGGGTGCATCTACACTGTAGATTTAAAGCATTTTGATGCCACTTTAGCTGCCATGGCTGAATGCAGTGGAATAATGGGAGTTGTAATTTGGTGATGCACCAGAGAAGACCTGGTAAAGCTCTGGCTCTCATAGCATTGACCCATGGCAGTGAAAGTGGTGTCAAACTGCATTAATTCTACAGTGTAGATGTACCCTAAGAGGTGCTTTAGCCTATACCCACCCATCTACAAGACTCTTTCTGAAAAAATATCAATTTGTTTCTCTCCCTCCCATCCCAAAAAATATGTTGGGTCTTACTAGTCTATTTTAAACCTAGGAAATCTTAACATCGGGATGTGATGTTCCTGTTTCAAAAATGAAAGCAACTCACCTCATAATCCACGCTCCATCAAAACATGCATAAAACTACCATGCCATCCCAGTCCACCCACCCCAGTGATCGTCGTACTGTCAGTCCACAGGCATATAAACACTATTTGGCTGGTTCAAATGGTGTTTATATTTTTACTCCTTTTAGAGAGTAAAATAGTTTTTAAATTCATTTTTATTAATGTTTATGCTATTAAGTTATTTTGTTGTATTAAGTGATATGTGATTATTGTCTGTATTATATTATTTACTGTTTTCATTTGTTGTAAGCCACCCCAAATCCCTCCAGGGAGAGGGGGCAGAATACAAATAAAGCTTATTAATTATTATCATTATTAGTAGTAGCAGCAGTAGTAACAACAGGGGTTCAAATCCTCTTATGGTCCCTTGGGGGGAAAAGGGGAAACTTCCATGTATTCTCTGTTGGCAGTCTTTATGTTAACTTTTTGTTAAGGAAACAGTACATAATGTGTATGTGAGTACATAAAGATGGACAGATACTAATGGAATGGTGCTGTCCTGCCTTATAGCTACTCTTGCAAAATTATAGAAATCCTTGAGGACTGTGTTTTTAAAATTATTCTTAAACAAAGGTGCTAGTTTTTTAAACTCTTAAAATGACTATTGTGCCTGGTTGTGCTGATTGGGTGTGCTTTATTTGTCGTATTTGCATTTTAAATATGACAATCAATCTGGTGCATCTGTTGCAATAGATGAAGTTCAACCAGAAATCCCTTTCCAAAAGTCATCTTTAGATCAATGGGATTTCGAGGTTTATAATCATATGCTTGAAAGAGAAACTTTTGTTTCAATACAACTGCTCTTTAGGGTTAGAAAAGAACAATCCAAATATTCTGAAGAGACTATTGTCAGAAATATTGTCAGAAATATTAAAAATTAACTAGATATTTTCAAATACAAAAATGTGAGTCAAGCACTGAAAGGGTTAAATGGATGCAATTACTCAGCAAAAGCTGCAGTTCTATATAAGCAGGTGTGCCTGTAGCTTAGTATCCAGTCTGAGGAAAAGCTCAGTGGGAGAAAAGTCTCAGTATGTGAGAAGGCCTCACAGTGTGAGGTTGGCCTTAGTCTGTGAACAGATTGCTCATATAATGTTTGTTTTTACATCTGTGTGAGGAGGTTTCTCTGTGAGGTAAGCATCACAGTGAGAGGTAAGCCTCACTTTATGAGAAAACCTGGTGTGAGAAGCTTCAGCAAAAGAAGCCCCATGTGGAAGGCCTTGTGTGTAAAGCTACTGTGTGAAGATCCTGTATAAGTTTGGTATGAGAGGAAGCTCTGTGAGAGCGAAGCTGTTTATCTGCATGAGAAAGAAGCCCAACATGGAAGCAAAGAAGGAATTATAAAGAACTTTCTTTGTGTTATTGAAATCTTTTTATTGTAAATAGTGCAACCATATTATTTTACTGCAAAGCCTCCTAAGGAGGATATAACATTAGTCTCTGTTTTTGTTCTTGTTATAACTTTGGCCTACTGGTGCTGGGTTATGCTGCTGCTAAGAAGTTACTCTGTTATACATTTATTAGGAGGATATTTTGTTAATAAGCCCACTTTCCCTACAACCACGTGTTATGCAGAGTAATGGTAAGAAATGGAACATGTCAAGACTATCCAAAATTAACTTTGATTTGGACATCACTGATGACATTGAAGAAAGGCCCAAGCATGCAGATAAACATGTGAAAATTTGTATTTTTGAGACAGACGTCGGGAGAAGATGTTGGGTACCAATATTTTTTTTTCCAAATGGGCCAAGTACCACCACCATATTTGTGCCCACTGGGAGCAATTGTTTCTTTCCTTGAAATTTACCAGGGCTGAAGGACAGCACCCACCACCAGGTCCAGGGACCACTAATTTGAGTATCACTGACCTAAAAGAATTCCAGACTTTGTTAGAGTTTTGAACAGATTGCTCATATAATGTTTGTTTTTACATAAATGATATGCTGTGTCCTGTTAACATTTACTTTTGTGCTTTGCTTATGTTTGTCTAAAATGGGACCCAATAGAATGGTGGAAGAAGAAAAAAAGAGAGAATGAAGATGGCTGAGAGTTTGTCAAAGAGCTCCCAATAAAGAGTTCCTGAGCTATTCTGGAATTGCTTTCTTGAAGAGGAAATTAAATAACTAAAAAAACAAACTAGCAATATTCCATCCAGCCTGGTTGATGTGTTTCCCTTTTTTATTTGACTGTGTTGTCTTGAATCATGAGCTGTTGAATTCTATTGCTATAGAAAAAGCCACATGTTGCCCCTGGGCGGTGGAGCTGAGTACTGATATGATGGATGTCTCAATGTGAACAGATTTACTTTCCTATCTGTCCCGGCCAATGCAAATGAGATATAACTTGGAAATAATGCTGTGAACTATTCCATATGCTCACTAGAAGGTTATTGGAGAGTACAGAAATATTCCTGAAAGCTTCCATATGGTCCCTTTGTGAAGGAAGAGCATTTTCAATAACAAAACAAAGAAGGATGAAGATAATTATGCCCCAAAATGAATCATTCCAACATGTGTAGTAAACAGCCAGAAAAAGGGGAGGTTTGTCTTCCCTGTTGAGTCTCCAACATGGAGCAAGATGATAGTGAGGAGGATTCCTACCATAGAATATGGAGAGAGTGAATAATTATTGATGCCAGACCCAGGTTAGCAAAATCCTAAAGGTTAACAAATAGAAGTTTAGTCCAGACAAAACGAAATGGCGACCCTCTTGATTGAAAGGCTGATTAAGAAATAACGCAGCTATTCCACCTGTGCTGGATGGGATGACACTGAAGGTCCAGGTTCAGAGTTTGGTTTACCTCTTGAGTCAGTGTTCAGCTTGGAGGCTGGATTTCTGCCACAGCAAGGAGTGCATCTGCATAATGAAAAGTTAGGGCAGAAAACTGTCCCATTTCCTGGAAATGTCTGATTTGTGCTTCAGTTAATCACATTTGGGAAAAATGCTTAACAACTCCCCTTGCCCCAAAGACCTGCATCCAGATTGTAACTGGAATTGAATACAAGGAACATACAAGTCCTTTGTTGCAACTGACTACTGGTATTTTTCTGGTCGCAGTTTAAACTGCCGGTGTTACAGTT